CTACCACCTCTCTGGGCAAACTGGGCCAGGTTTCATCACCCTTATTTTAAAGAATTTCTTCCTTTCTCATTGTCCTGTCACAACAGGCTCTGCTAAGAAGTTTGTCCCCATCTTTCCTGTACGACCCCTTTAAGTACTGAAGGGCCACAATAAGGCCCCAGAGCCTTCTCTTACGAAGTAACTCATGACAGAATATCTTTTTACCCCCATTTGGTCAGAGTGCTTGTCACTTAAGAAATCCTTTCTCTCTCCCGTCAAAACCAGAGCCTCCCATGATTGCTTGGCTGCATCCTATTTGCAGCTGGCATTGCAGATTTTTGTTGGGTCACAAAGGTGGATGCTTTGATTCTTGCTGCTGTGAGTCCATGACCACTCCAGCTAAAATGACCAGCGTCATCTTAATAACAGTTTGTTCTTTTGTTGTTAAGAAGTTTCTAGCATTTTCTTTTGTTTTTTTGATAGAAAATATCTAGATGACCAATATTTATTGGAGGTTACAAGAGGTAAAAACTCAGGCTTCTGTACCTGAAGGTGTCTAAGTAGCATTCATCATACTTAGTCTTTGTTGAACTGTCTACAGACAGCTCTGTTGTTGACCTCTCTGGGCATGAAGTTTACCATTTTTAATGGGTGAGCACAAGGCAGTGAAGACACCAGAGTGTTCCTTTATTTCTTAGTGTAACCAACTCAGCATCTAACTGGAGGGGAGTTATATGAGCGTCTACACTTCATTCATCTGTAACTGATTTAGCCTCCAGAGACTGAGATTAAGTTTATATCCTAACGGACATGTTTGTTCCTTTCATCAATAGGAAACGGATGTTGTACCAGACACACAACTGCTGGAGAAGTTCAGCCAAATTTCTTCTCATTCTTATCAACAATCAGAAGAAGGTAGCAGCGAGTCATCTTTGGAGACAATGTACGTCGCTGACTTCTTTCTTGCTCTGGCAATCTGTAATACTGTTGTAGTTTCAGTCCCCAATCAGCCACGTCAGAAGGTAAGAAGCCAATTATTTTTGGCTATTTGGCCGTATACATAAGTAAATGAGCTGCCTTTGCTTTGATTACAAAAGGAAAAAAAAATAATGGACATTCAAAAAATGATTCTTTTCTCCTCTAGTAGAAAAGAAAAAGAGAGGAAATAAAGTATTGATAAGCTATTGTGTTTTTAACAGTACTTGTAGCTATTTACTGTGAAGGGTATGGGGCTGGTTTATTCTTCACAAATATCTTGCTAATCTAGAACAAAGTTTTAAGTGTTTAGCTCCATGTGCTGGTTTATTCTTCACAAATATCTTGCTAATTCAGAACAAGGTTTTAAGTGTTTAGTTCCACGTCAGTTGTCTGGGAGCTACCCTGCACTAGGAAGGGAAGATGGAGCAGGTGATGCTCCCCGTTCAGGACATGTTGCTTTCAGCAGCCCCATTGTAAGTTAAAGCTGTTGGTTTTGATGCTAAATGTCTGAAATAGAACCATAGAACAGTTTGGGTTGGGAGGGACCTTCAAAGGTCGCCTGCTCCAACCTCCCCTGCAATGAGCAGGGACATCTTCAACCAGATCAGGTTGCTCAGAGCCCTGTCCAACCTGACTTGGAATGTTTCCGGGCATGGGGCATCTACCACCTCTCTGGGCAACCTGGGCCAGGTTTCATCACCCTCATTTTAAAAAATTTCTTCATTAAATCTAGTCTAAATCTTCCCTTTTCCAGATTAAAGCCATTTCTCGTTGTCCTGTCACAACAGGCTCTGCTAAAAAGTTTGTCCCCATCTTTCCTGTACTGAAGGGCCGCAATAAAGCCCCAGGGCCTTCTCTTCTCATGAAGTAACTCATGATGGAATATCTTCTTACCCCCACTTGGTCAGAGTGCTTGTCACTTAAGAAATCCTTTCTCTCTCCCGTCAAAACCAGAGCCTCCCATGATTGCTTGGCTGCATCCTATTTGCAGCTGGCATTGCAGATTTTTGTTGGGTCACAAAGGTGGATGCTTTGATTCTTGCTGCTGTGAGTCCATGACCACTCCAGCTAAAATGACCAGCGTCATCTTAATAACAGTTTGTTCTTTTGTTGTTAAGAAGTTTCTAGCATTTTCTTTTGTTTTTTTGATAGAAAATATCTAGATGACCAATATTTATTGGAGGTTACAAGAGGTAAAAACTCAGGCTTCTGTACCTGAAGGTGTCTAAGTAGCATTCATCATACTTAGTCTCTGTTGAACTGTCTACAGACAGCTCTGTTGTTGACCTCTCTGGGCATGAAGTTTGCCATTTTTAATGGGTGAGCACAAGGCAGTGAAGACACCAGAGTGTTCCTTTATTTCTTAGTGTAACCAACTCAGCATCTAACTGGAGGGGAGTTATATGAGCTTCTACACTTCATTCATCTGTAACTGATTTAGCCTCCAGAGACTGAGATTAAGTTTATATCCTAACGGACATGTTTGTTCCTTTCATCAATAGGAAACGGATGTTGTACCAGACACACAACTGCTGGGGAAGTTCAGCCAAATTTCTTCTCATTCTTATCAACAATCAGAAGAAGGTAGCAGCGAGTCATCTTTGGAGACAATGTACGTCGCTGACTTCTTTCTTGCTCTGGCAATCTGTAATACTGTTGTAGTTTCAGTCCCCAATCAGCCACGTCAGAAGGTAAGAAGCCAATTATTTTTGGCTATTTGGCCGTATACATAAGTAAATGAGCTGCCTTTGCTTTTATTACAAAAGGAAAAAAAAAATAATGGACATTCAAAAAAATGATTCTTTTCTCCTCTAGTAGAAAAAAAAAGAGAGGAAATAAAGTATTGATAAGGTATTGTGTTTTTAACCGTACTTGTAGCTATTTACTGTGAAGGGTATGGGGCTGGTTTATTCTTCACAAATATCTTGCTAATCTAGAACAAAGTTTTAAGTGTTTAGCTCCATGTGCCACAACTTTTAAAAGTTATATTGTGATACTAACTTTCATTACTGAAACAGTTCTAAAGAAAACTATTACGTGGAGTCATGAATCAGACTTGGAACACATACAATTTTCAGATCTGAAGTATTTTTACAATTCTTTTGGTTGGAATATTGGAGCTCTTACAGAGGCTGTTTAGTGTGCTCATGGTTATATGTTTAATTGAACTGACTATCTTTAATATAAGGAATCAAACTCCTGGTAAATTTTAAAATACTACATTCATTAAGAAACATACATGGTTTGTAATCTGTCTTGTAATAAAATATGAAGATTTCAATGTAAACATTTTCTCTAACTGTTCTGTTCCAGATGCGACTCTCCTCGCTGGGTAGGATGCCTCTGAAATCTCTTGAGGAAATCAGGCAGATGTTCCAGAGATTGTCAGTCCGGAGACTAAGTTCCTCCCCAGCTCCAAGCGTGAAAGAGTCATCACCTGAAAGCCCCAACAGTTTTGTGAGCAAACTGTCTATTTTCAGAATGAAACTGGCTTCACCTGCTTCGGATGGAGCTGCTCAAAGGGCTGCTGAGCCTCACGATACCGAGAGCCCAGAAAATTCCCAAGTGCCTGAGGAGCTAGATATGGTGAACGTAGCTGCTGGCAGTGAAGACAGCAGTGCTGCCTCCTCTATTGAACTGTCTCCCTTGTCTAAGCTGTGTTATGAAGCCGAGAGCCCAGATGAAGCTGCCTTGGTTCATGCTGCTAGAGCTTACAAATGTATTTTACAGTCTAGGACCCCAGATCAGGTAACTGTGGACTTTGCAGGTCTGGGGTCTTTAACGTTTCAGCTGTTGCACATCCTGCCTTTTGATTCCGTGCGGAAAAGGATGTCGGTGGTGGTTCGGCATCCAGTCTCCGGCAAAGTGGTGGTGTACACAAAAGGTGCAGACTCAGTCATGATGGAGTTGTTGGGAACTGCATCTGAAGGTATCTATAGAACTTGTAATTCTTTGCTCACCTTTGTCATTCTGCAGTAGAGTTGAACAGGTGGCCTGATTCATGAGAAGAGACAAGTGACCCAGCAGAGCTATTATCTGCACATAGTTCCTTAGAGGGAACCCAGAAAGGTAGTGGTGTTTGTCACCTGGATATGGCTGAGAAGAGAGAAGCAGCTGTTATTCAAAGGATTAAATGGTGTCTAAGCAGAGCCTTTGGAGCCAACTGAAGTATTTCCAGTTATAAAGTAAGGTCATCTGCTTGAATAATTGGCATCTGCTACACGATAAGGCGTGTTTATTAGAATGAGATACTTTCTAGCCTTTACCTATGTTCGTGTTTCTGAGCTGTTGGAGAGGGGTTTCAGTAGCAGATGTTGCCTATTGGTGCTTTTTGAGGTTTTTTCCCTCGATTACTGACTGTTTCTGTGTTTCTAGGTGTAACAATAGTATCTGTAAAGTTGTGTGGTGCCTCCTGGTGGGCCTGTCCAGGGATGAATGTTTTTTGAATATGCCACAGGATGGATGTACCCTGTAGTTTAAGCACTAACTGATTTATTCATGCACTGTAGCAAACAGTCATTGGTTTTTATCTGAAGGCAGTAAAGAGAAAGTATTAGCTGTGTATGTTAGAAATAAATACCTAACTAGATTTAATTTAATAAGATGTTCCAAGGATTCTTTTTTAATGGTTTGGAAAGTAATATAAAGGAATTATTTGTAAAGGCTTGCTTACTGCCCTTTTAGCTCCCTCCCATTAGACCAGTGACAGTAAAGCTGCTTAGGTGTCTGTGGCCCAGGTCATCTTGGAAAATAATTTTTAGAGAAACATTTTGATAAGCTAGTGGCATCCAAAGATGATAGATCCAAAGATCTGTCAGTACCACGTGGGTTCCCCCTCACTGCTTGTGCTGACTGGCACACTGTATGCTCACTATAGAGACAGCCACAGTACATTGTGCAAACATAAAGATACATTCATAGTTAAAATAAAACCTGTTAATGTTTTAATATTTTTAAACCATGTTCTTAGGCTAATAAAATTTTCCACTAAATTTAGCCTAAGAATGCACATTTAATTTGCTTTCTTTGCTTTATGTGTGTAGGTACTAACAATTCAGAGATGGAACAAAAGAAGATTAAAGAGAGAACTCAGAAGCATTTGGATGACTATGCCAGAAGAGGACTGCGCACTCTGTGCATCGCTAAGAAGGTATTCCTTTTAATAGGTGTTTTTTAAGAATGTTTGCAGTTTATGAGCAGGCTGAGTGGTGTCACCAACGGAGCAGACATCACCGCTTCTAAACAGGTGCTTCCATTGCCACATTTTGCTTAGCCATATATTCTTTCTGGAGGAGTTTGTAAGTTGACCCAAATAAATTCCTGACTTCCATTACATTGTCGTAGTTTTCACTTTAGGATGCCAAGCAACTTAATAACCTAATTCTAAACAGGGGTGTCAAATAGCCTGATTTTTCTTCAAGAGTCCTGAGCAAGTATCCTTGTGTGAAACTTCCCTGATTGGAATTCCAGACACAGGAAACAAACGAAGTCAGACCTGTTTTATTTGGTTTCACAAACAGTTTGCAGTGTCACACGTGAAACTTAAGTGAAGATTTGAGATTCCATTTTAAATTCAAAGCTGCTCAGAAGTGAAATTCCACAGGGATTGAAACAGGGAAGAAATCTCTTGACAAAGCCTTCTGCAAGGTGTGAGTACAGGTTGTGTAGCGGTAACTCACCAAGCTGTACTCAGCTGAGCAGTGCCTCCCTGGTGGTGTCAGCGCTACAATTAAAGAGTGGCAGGGGGACTAGGCTCATGGGCCTGCCTGCTTTCCCTCTACATGGGAATCTGTCTGTCCAGCAGCTCCAGGAACCCGCAGGGTGCAGTGGGTGACCTGGCCTGTGAAGCCTGGCAAAGTGATCCAACACTGTGACCATCAGACTAAATCCATGGAAATTCTGGGACACGTAAATAATGCGCTGCCAGGGGTTGCGCTTCTGGGTGGGGAACGTGGGCAGCAGAAGTGACTGTTCAGGTGCCTTTGAAAATACAGTATAGAAACATGCCGTATGTTTTCTCTCCCTCTGCAGGTGATGAGTGATGCAGAATATGCAGAGTGGTTAAATCATCATTTTTTAGCGGAAACCAGCATTGACAATAGGGAGGAGCTGCTGCTGGAATCCGCCATCAAGCTTGAGACTCAACTGACTTTGCTCGGTAGGTAGAAAATGAGGTACCTCCCAGGAAACTGCTCATGATGTTCATAATTGGAATTTACTTGCAGAGAGCTGTGCCAACCGCAATTGGTGTAACACAGAGCTTTCTACAGACCTAGAATTTACTGTCACTCCTGAATTTTCATAAATCTTGCTGGTAAATTTGCTCTAGTTGTAAAACACACTGAAGACAGGTAGTGCTCTTCTGGTGTTCATAAAGGGTAGAGTTTTACTGACTTTTTTTTTTTTCCCCTTGGGTTTCTTTTTTGTACTCACTGGAGTTTTTAAGTGTCATAATAAGCACGTGAAGTAATAATAACAAATCAGAGGCCTGCCTGGGCAAACGTTGTCAGGGATCCCACTTCTGGGCATGTTTTCCATCAGGGTTGCATGTGTGGCACAGGAGGTGTGCTTGTGCTGGGTCCTGCTGCTGTAACATGGAGAGAAGTCAGGCCTGCTTCTGCAGGAGCTGTTCCTCTGATGGTCATTCAGCTGCACGGAAATGGGGAGGCCAAAACGAAATGGAAAATGTTTGGTGTAGATGTGTAAAAGGTAAACTGCAGGCAGCCTGGGAGAACAGCTCTGGAGGACTGCCCAGCAAATAACATTTGGAAAACAAAGTGCAACGGTCTGATTGTGGTGGTAAAGACAGCTTATGCTAGAAGCTGAAGACAGACAGATCCTATTTTGCGCAAAGGTGTTACTGCCCTCATTTTGTGCCACATCTGCTCAGGGGAAATGCCATAAACCGTGATACTAATAGGAATTCTGGGGATTACTGGCTGCAGTTTCTGGAGAGAATCCCGAGCAGCGCTGCCAGCTGCTGTACTTTTAAGGGATGATGTGCTATACAGGGATCCTTGAGGCAGCAGAGGGAAGTCTCGTTGCTGTGGAGCCCTGCTGTCCTGCAGGCCAAGGCATTTTTTCATCTTGTGTCTCTGGCGGGACAGTAAGCAATATGGGTTAGCCCTAACATTAAATCAGAGTGAGAATAAGAGGGGTAAATGGCTTCATACTGCCAAGGTGCTGCCTTTCAGTACCTCTGCCAGCTTAGTTATCCCTCTCTGGGGCACGTGTACGTTGTGATCTGCAGAGTAGAACTACTTAAATTACAGAGTAGAACATACTAGTTCTCATTCTGTTTCTCTGAGCCTTCCTCTGCTTTCTAAATAATCATCACCTGGTGTAGCTGCAGCCGTAACTCTGACTGTCCTCTTAGGACTGAGAAATGAAGACTTTGTCCTCAAAGAACAAGAAGCAAAAAGTCAAATCATCTCAGTATTGCCAGGATCATGGAGGACAGCAGTGGCTTGTAGTCCGCTGCGTGGGCAGGTATGAAACCTGTATGGCTGTATATAAAGCCTCAGGCCTTTATTTGAATGGAAATCTATTTCTGGAAAGAACAGCCCTAATGTGCAGCACTTAACTAAGCATAGATCTGGATCTCAGCAGTGTACTTACAGAAGCTGCCTTCCGTTGTGTTATGAAGTGATCAAGTATCTCAGAAGGGGAGCATTAAGTGCATAGAGCGCCCAAGTTGAAGCAACATTTTTCTGTCCTTCAGTGCCTGGAAGTGTCTCTCAAAGAAGCTTGCATCAGATATAGAGCAAGCATTTTCCTTCCTGCCTCTTCCGCTGACTTCCATCAAAATGCAGGCAGAGTGCAGAGCAAGGTCCTGGAGGTTTTCATCTTCCTGGTGACCAGGGACCGTGAGCTCTGTGCCCTCTGGGCAGCTACTTACTGAAGAAGTTGCTGCAGCATCAAAAACTTGCCTGATGTTTTGGCTCTCACCCATCCCAACATGACAGTCAGCGCTTTATGCACGAGTTGCTGGCTGGAGTCCCACGCTAGAAACACTAAGAGGGAAACCTTGGCTTTGAAATTTTTTTTTTTTCTTGTTTGTCATTGAGACTGAACCTAGCTGCAACTGGCTGAAGTTTCTCTCTGAGGAACTCTCTTAGCCTCAGAGTCCCACAAGCCAAACCGTGTCTCCTGGTTATGATTTAGTACCATTTGTATTGTGAAAATGCCATCAAAATGTCCTGCACCGTAGTAAATCACTGGCACTGCAGCTTGTCAGAGATGGTTCTGCTTTATGCTCATGTTGTGTTACCTTATTGTAACCAAAGCAGAAGCTGGTTTTTGGGACACAGGTCTGCCTGCTGCGCACACCAGAAAAGAGGATATCTCTGCTAAAGTCTCTGTATTTTTTTGTTGAAAGTCTGTGTTAGAGCAGGTGTTTCCTCCCTGAGGGGGAGGATGTCAAGGTAGGCAGTGCGGGCAGGAGGGAGGGCAAAACACAGAGTTTAGTGCTGTGGATTGAAAGGACCTGGGGCAGGAGATGCTGCAGCCACGAGCGGTTGAGAAAGCTGATGGTGAATGGCAGGTCTTTGCAGCAGTGTGCAAAAATATGATGTAAGAAAAGGGCATTTTGGTGTGGAAAAGGTGGGGGCTTGGGACAAGAGGTACAGAGAATTCAGCCTAGAGTGGAGTTGAGAATAAGAAAGAGAATTATAGAATCATAGAATTGCCTGGGTTGGAAGGGATCTTTCAGATCATCAAGTCCAACCATCAACCTGACACTGACAAAACCATCACTAAACCACATCGCTGAGCACCATTTCTACCTGTCTTCTAAATACCTCCAGAGGTATTAGAAGGATTCCACCACTTCCCTGGGCAGCCTGTTCCAATGCTTAATAACCCTTTCAGTGTAGAAATTTTTCCTAATACCCAATCTAAACCTCCCTTGGTGCAACTTTATGCCATTTCCTCTTGTCCTTAGAAGAGTGGGCCTTGAGATAGGAAAGATGGAGGTGATATGTTAAAGAAGGTTGGGGGTAGTCCGAGGTAGTGGGAGGAGGGAGTGGGAATAATGGAGTGTATTTGTCATGACAAGCCTGGGAGTCTGTGTGCCAGAGCTACTACAGGATGAAACAACCATAAGAATGAGAAAAGTTGGTTTAAAAGGGTCTTGTGAAGAGTTGGGGGCCCCTAAGGCTGTAACTGAGGGTGTGAGTCATCCATCTCACACATGGTGGGCTCTGGGACAGAAAGATGTGGAAGGGAGGCATTCCCAAGCGTGTCCCAGTAGGGTGTTTTGTCCATCTTGTCCTGTCGCTCTTGGGGCGTTTTGGTTTTGGAAATAGAGCAGCACTAATCCTCCTGCTTGTCTAAACGAAGGTGCCACTGGCATTGAGGATCGCCTGCAGGAGGGTGTTCCAGACACGATACAGGCCTTACGGAAAGCGGGGATAAAAATATGGATGCTGACAGGTGACAAGAGAGAGACAGCTGTCAACATCGCCTGTGCCTGTAAACTGCTGGAGCCAGATGACAGAATCTTCACTCTCCAATCACAGAGTAGGGTGAGTGGAAAATTACACTTTGCTTCAATTACTTATGTTTCTTTTTTTTCCTCTGCTGAATAATTGAGTCAGGCTCTATCACAGGCCAGCACAAAAAAACCCCTAAAATTGTTCTCTGCTTTCCCAACTGACCAAAAGCAGCATAATTTCTTGTAAGATCAAAATACTGGAAAACGGATGGTTTGCTTCCTTGCGGGTAAAATATGAAATCCTTTGTATGTATGTAACATCTGTTTTTTTTTATATACTGTCCCTAAACGATTATTAATTATTTTAATTGAATAGACTGCTTAATTTCTCTTTGTGGTAGGTTAGAGAGTTAACATGCTTCACATCTTATTAGAGAATTCAAACGTCTCTGAGTTAAAGCATATTAGCAATGTAAGAATTATTGTAATGCAAATTCTATTGAATTAAGTTTTGTGCTGCTTTATGTAATATATTCCCTCAGCCCTGCTTGTCTTGCATAAATGTACAAAGAATTGTCTCATTAAAGTACATCACGCACTATTCAAGAAAACTAATCTGCCAACAGTTTTATCAGAGGAAAAAGCCACCTTCTCTCCACCACCCAGTAATTGAATCATGTGAAAAAGAGTGGTTAAAAACGCTGCTGGTTCACATGATAAGTTTAATCCTACTTCATCATTGTGTCCTTTTGCAGATGCTTATAACCAGCTGTTTTCCAAATATTGATTTTTATCAATTTTGGGTTTCTTAAGATAAATCTGTAACTGGTAAAGCTGACATATGAATTGTCTTTCCTCCGAGCAGAGACATGAAATCTAAGACTTCTCTAAAGGACTGGAGAGTTTTTCTAAGACTCTTCATTTTTCTTTTTTTTTCTCTGCTTATATGTTACTTCAGAAATCCAGTTTGTATCTGCCGTCAAAGATTGTGTGGCAGGTGGTAACTGTGAGGAAAATAAAGTGAAAAAGAAAGGATTTCTAGTCTAGTTTTGTCTGAGGAAAGCTTGGGGTTTGATTTTCACTAACATTTTTTTTTTTCTTCCTTTTTTTCCTACTGGGGAATGTGTGTCTTAATTAACAGAACGGATCCCCTTTTGCAGAAGTGCTCATCCTCCCTCTAACGGGGCTTCAGAGTAAAAAATAGTCAGGATTTGATACTGTTGCATTTCAAAGTAAAATGAGAATATTTAATAAAATGTATTTTCTTCTACATAGTGTGTATTACATACATTGGTATCAGGAGTCTTTTGGGCGTCTTATATTGATTCTGACAAGGTAAAAAATTCCACAAGGCCAGTTCTTCAGTAGTTCATTGCAGCTCACCTGTGATCTGGTTGGAAATGCACTTCTGGCTTTTCATGCCAGACAAGAGAAATGTAGAGAGCAAGAGTCTTCTCCCCAAGCTGTGTGTGTATTACCGAATCCTTCATGGCTGTTTCCTTCTGCTTGTCTGTGAACGTTTTCTGATTTGCTTCAGGTTTTTTCCCTTCTCCTAGTACAATACCCAAGCCAATCTACTTAAGCAAAGTTAAATCACAGGCCCTTTTATTAACAACAGACTGCATCTTTTGTGAGTCTTAAAGTGTTATTCAGCCTCATGTCTGAGCCTTTCTGGATTCAAGTGAAACTCTACACGAGGGCAGCACTTGACCTTTTCTCCATATGTATTTTATAAGTTGAAATGGGAGCCAGAACACGAACAGCATTTAATAAGTTGCCTTTCTCTTGTCTTTAATTAGGATGCCTGCGCCTTGGTGATGAGCAAAATCTTAGAAGGCATCCAGAAGAATACTTCTGCGGAAAAAAAGCCCAGTCAGAAACTTGGGAATGTCTCTGCAAGTCCCTCCACCCAAGCTCCAGGGTTCAGTGCAGGCCTGGTTATTGATGGAAGGACTTTAGAGCATGTCCTGCATGACAGCCTACAGAATATGTTCTTGGAACTCACAGAAAAATGTCGGGCTGTCATCTGCTGCCAAGCCACGCCACTGCAGAAGAGTGTGCTGGTCAGACTGGTGAGAAGCAAGCTCAAGGCAATGACGTTGGCTGTAGGTGAGTCCTGTGGTCGTCACCTCTTCTCTGAAAAGAAGTAGAAGCCAGTTTCGTCTCTCCTATGTTTTTGTGAGTGTCTGTCACAAAATTTCCTTCACAAGGAAGATAATCCTTTGAATTGTAGCTGTCTCTGGCATAAGGTGGTGTTAGTCCTCTGAACTAGCAAATTTTGTGCATAAACGTACTCGTGGTCATCTGAAGCAAAGCAGCAGCTGTGCATAGTGTTAAGTAGCACGTCCAAAGGAGCAAGGAAGAGGCTTTTCCTTGTCATCCTCCACAACCCCCCAAAATAGGGAGGGTTTTTTCTTTACCAGCATACCAACTAAACTCTGACAGAAAGAACAGCTAATGTCCCTCTGGAGAATGTAGCTCAGTTCAGTCAGGCCTTCTGCTTCCTCATCCTGCTTTCCGTAGGTTTTCCATAGGCTGAACTGGCCATAAAGATGTTTTTCTCTGAAGTGTCTGGTGTTCTTATCATAGAATCATAGAATCATGAAATGGTTTGGGTTGGAAGGGACCTCAAAGATCATCTAGTTCCAACCCCCCTGCCATGGGCAGGGACACCTCCCACTAGAGCAGGTTGCTCAAGGCCACATCCAGCCTGGCCTTGAACACTTCCAGGGATGGGGCATTTGTACATTTGTCTTTTCCTGCCACCTCCATGGTGACGTGGTAGCCAGCAAAGCTGTCTCCAGGTTGCATTCCAAGTAAAGGAGGTTAGTTTTGATTTTCCCTCTTTCCTTTTCTCCGTAGGTGATGGTGCCAATGACGTCAGCATGATCCAGGTGGCTGATACTGGTGTGGGGATATCAGGCCAAGAAGGCATGCAGGTAGTGTACACAGAGACAGCTGGAAATGACATCAGATTCCATTTTAAGTCAATTCAGTTTAGTCAATTCAGTTTACCCTGGAGGCCCAGTGGCTCCACGGTCCGTTATCTTACATGGGCAAGAGTTGGCAGCCCAAGCTCCCTCCGAGCCCTCAGAGCTCCTCCAGGAGCTCTCAGAAGCTGGATTCTGCAGGGGTTCAGGTTCCAAACAGCAGAGCCTGCTGCCTGTTGTCAAACTCCCTGCTACTCCTGTCCTGCCAGCAGACAAGCAGCTGGGACATCTGTGATTTGTGTGCAGTTGTGGGGTGATAATAAAGACAGAGGTGTTCCTGCCTGGGCTGGGCTGGGCTGAGCCCACGTGTCTTTAGTGTAAAACATGGTCTGGGGGGACTCAGAGCTGAGTGAGGATAAGACCATAACTGCTATGTATAAAAAAAGATAAAATAAGAATTTTGAACAGTAGGCAAGTTGCTCACTTGGCAGCATCAGAAGCTTATCTTGTAAAGGTTTGCTTATAACATACTCTTTCCTTCACGTGCATTGCAGGCTGTGATGGCAAGTGACTTTGCAATCTCTCAGTTCCGGCACCTCAGGAAGCTGCTGCTTGTCCACGGTCACTGGTGTAACACCAGACTCACCAACATGGTGCTTTACTTCTTCTACAAGAACGTGGTAAGTAGCTGTCCTGTTCTGGGGAAATCACAGCCTGCCTGCTTGAGAGCGCTGAAGGGTTTAGTGGGGCTTTATATTCTTTTAAAGTTTCTATTGTGAATGGGTTCAAAAAGACACAAAAAGCATATGTCAAACAATTCAGTTTCCCACTTATGTCTGCAGAGACCAGAGACTCTTATTCCTTGGATTGAATTTCCCACTCAAAGCCATTGTCTGATTTGATTAAACAGTGGGGAATGGGCGTCACTGATGTGGTGGCAGCATGACTATTTCAAAAAAGTCATGTCCAGTTTTGAAATGTAAAGCTGTGTGCTAGTCAAATGTCATTTCAAAGTGTGGGATTGGCATGAATTCCACATCGTTTATACTTAATTTTCCACAGATTACTGTAACCAGACTTTAGATCTGCCCAGTTCCCCGCTGGCTTTTAAAACACTTGTCAAGAGGTAACGTTTTACCGTGTCATCTTTGACTTCTCAGGCCTATGTGAATCTCCTGTTCTGGTACCAGTTCTTCTGTGGGTTTTCGGGCACATCCATGACTGACTACTGGATTTTGATTCTCTTCAATCTCCTTTTTACGTCGGTGCCACCCATCGTTTATGGTGTCTTGGACAAAGATGTGTCTGCGGAGATACTCTTGCAGCTCCCACAGCTCTACATGATGAGCCAGAAATCTGTGGTAGGTTGAAGAATGGTTGGCCTGAAGCAAATTGAAATGGTCAGCGTTTGAGCCATTTCTCTCTTTCCTTCCTTTATGGTTCACATCAGGCAAACATGAAGTTTAAAACCACTTTCTCTATTAGAAGAACATCTAGGCCTGTGTAATATGTGCACAAATAAAACCTTTTTTTTTTCAGAAGTTTTTTATAGGCTCTTTTCGGCTGTACACCCAATTTTATTAGACATTGGATGATAAGAAAAATTAAGGACTTCAGTTGAAGCAATGTACTAGATAGATATTATTAGCAGCATGTTCACCTCATTCACTGCCTCAGCTGCCAACATGCTTCCTCAAAACAGGTTTCTTTTGAGCATCTGGGCTTACTCTTTAAGATGAGGGCACTAGATACTGTTTTTTCACTGTCATATAAGGGTCTCAACTGCCAAAATAATGAGCAATGGATAAGAACCAGAGCAGATTCAGTTCAAATAATCCTCAAAAAAGTTCTGTCATTCAGAGTTCTTTCCCCTTATGGGTATGTTCTGGAATTTGCCAGTGACAGTTTCCTCCCATCTGAACACATTATATATCATATCTGCTTTATAAGTAAATTCCATCCAAACATTTAACAAACAAAACCGCAGGGAGCATGGGGTAGTTTCTAAATCAAAATTATATAAATCAGCAAGCTTTTTCCCGGTTTCTGCTTTGCCTAGCATGAATTCTAGCATAATTTTAACTTTTTTCTTTTTTTTTTTTTTTTAATTTAACACTTAATTAAAATAATATTTTTATTATAACAATTGAAGGCAGCAGCATACTGAGCCTGAGACAGAACAGATACCAGCAGCCCAGAGAGAGGAAACTGAGCATATGAGTCACATAAAACTCGCCATTTTGTTTATGATCATAATCCTTTCAATAACAGACTGGACATTAGGAGGCATTTCTTTAACCAAGAGGGTGGCCCAGCACTGGAAGTGGCTTCCTAGAGAGGTGGTCGATGCCCCGAGCCTGTCAGTGTTCAAGAGGCATTTGGACAATGTCCTTAGTAACGTGCTTGGTCAGCCCTGAAGTGGTCGCAGTTGTTGTAGGTCCCTTCCAACTGAAATGTTCTGTTCTCTTCTATTTTGTTCTGTTCTATTCTATCAAATACTAGTGAAAAAACCAAGCTACAACATGTTGTGTTCTCGTTGTGCAGTCTCACCTGCACAACCTGGCAGAAGTTTAGGTCTGCTTTAGAAGGGAGGGAAGGATATACAACGAGGGGACAATTTGTTTGGTTTGTTTGTGGACTTTTATGTTGCTTTTTTACATACCCTTAAATCTCCCCTTAAATGAGGTGGTCGATGCCCCGAGCCTGTCAGTGTTCAAGAGGCATTTGGACAATGTCCTTAGTAACGTGCTTGGTCAGCCCTGAAGTGGTCGCAGTTGTTGTAGGTCCCTTCCAACTGAAATGTTCTGTTCTCTTCTATTTTGTTCTGTTCTATTCTATCAAATACTAGTGAAAAAACCAAGCTACAACATGTTGTGTTCTCGTTGTGCAGTCTCACCTGCACAACCTGGCAGAAGTTTAGGTCTGCTTTAGAAGGGAGGGAAGGATATACAACGAGGGGACAATTTGTTTGGTTTGTTTGCGGACTTTTATGTTGCTTTTTTACATACCCTTAAATCTCCCCTTAAATAGAGGGGAGATTTAGATGAGATATCAGGAAGAAATTCTTTACTGTGAGGGTGGTGAGACACTGGAAGAGGTTGCCCAGAGAAGCTGTGGCTGCCCCATCCCTGGAGGTGTTCAAGGCCAGGCTGGATGGGGCTTTGAGCAACCTGGTCTGGTGGGAGGTGTCCCTGCCCATGGCAGTGGGGCTGGAACTTGATGATCTTTAAGGTCCCTTCCAACTCTAACCATTCTATGATTCTGTGATTTTATGTTTCTTGGTTTATGATATTTTTGCAAAACTAAGTATTCTTTTGGTACCAATCCAAACCTCTGTCGACTGGCAGGAGCAGGTCTGTGCTTTGCCAGTCACAGGGAGTTTTGATTAGGTACGTGTTACAAAGCCTCAGGATTTGGCTTCTTGTTTTGATCTCCAGGGCGTGTACGGTCACCTGAGCTGAGGTGAGGGTTTTGAGGTGACATAACGAGCATTACTGCATCGCACAGCTCTGTACCAGCTGTGAAAATGGACAGGAACTTGGATTCATCTTCAGTAATTTAAAGCCCTTCCCTGACAGGCAAATAAGAAGACGGGTTTCCCACACCCCAAATCCAAATTAATCCTAATTAAGGATGCAGCAAGTTGTTCAATTTGTTTCAATGACATTATCTTTTTTCTTTTTTTTTTCCCTTACAGGCTTACTTGCCCTCAGCTTTCTGGTTAACCCTGCTGGATGCTTTTTACCAAAGTCTCGTGTGCTTTTTCGTGCCTTACTTTGTAAGTGCTGGATCTGAAATACTTTCGTACATTTTGACGTACTAAAAACCTGGGCAAATTAGAGAATGGAATGAAGTGTTTGATTTTATTTCCTCGTATATAAATGTGTGCTACCAGGATCATCCCTGGAGCTGAGCTGAACTGTGTGCATGTGAACGTAGCTTTAAGCTGGAGGGGAGCAGATTTAGATTGGAGATTAGGAGAAAGTTCTTCACTATGAGGGTGGTGGAGCACTGGAACAGGTTGCCCAGGGAGGTGGTTGAGGCCCCATGAATATCCCTGGAGATATTCAAGGTGAGGCTCGATGGGGCCCTGGGCAACCTGGTCTAGTTGGGGGTGTCCCTGCTGACGGTGGGAGATCGGACTAGATGACCTTTGGAGGTCCCTTCCAGCCTGGACAGTTCTATGATTCTTTGAACGTGTATGGTACTGAAACTATTGGTGCCACTTTGAGTGCTAGGGCTGTACATAAAGAGTGTTTTACACCGACCTGTCTTCCTTTACAGACCTACTATGGCTCAGACATAGACATTTTTTCTTTTGGAAACCCTATCAACACAGCAGCGCTCTTCATCATACTGTTCCACCTTCTCATCGAGTGCAAGTCTGTGGTGAGTACTTTGTTTCCAGAAAAGCACGTTCCTGGCAGTGTAGGTTCATTTCCTTCAAATGAAAGGGAAGAAAGAGCTTCGTATGCAAAACAGAACGAGTGTAAAAGAGCCAAAACCTAAATATTTTGCTTATATGAGGTCTCCTAATGCACCTGTCATTGGGGGCCAATAGAATGACTTGAGTGACTAAAATTAACAAAATTTGGCCTGAGAATTGCTTGTAAGTAGTGAAAGGATCCTGCCTCATTAGGGTACGGTGGTTTAAGGGATGCCAGTTCAGTTTTGCAAATGATCCTTCATCAGTTCCCAGAGCCTGCATCTCGAAGACAGACACACAAACTGTTGATTTTTGAATGCTTGAGTGATTTTTGAATGATTTTTAAACTAATTGCCTACTCTGTGGCCAGGAGAAATGATTCAGAGATGTGTTTTGGTGCCAGAACTGGAGAGCCGATGTGCTGCAGAAATGCTATTCCAGTTTTCAATTAAGTCTGTGCAAGCTAAAGTATCCGCATTAGCTCGGATAAATTTACAGCCCTTACAAGGGTAACACTTGGCTATTTTGCATAATATTAAAGAAAATACCGTAATATTTACAGTAGAAGGACCCAGATTGATAGGTTTTATTTTTTCTCTGTCATCTTTTCGAGAAATATTTTTTAGGATTGTTTCGTAATGGATGAAATTTCAAGTTGTGATTCAGTCTTTTCATTGTTCTTTCGGGAGCTTGGCAGCGGTGATAAAAATGTCTTTATTGAGAATTTATGGGTAGCATGAGCGTATCCACGCTCTGAGTAATAAAACATGGCTTAAATGGGTTTTATTTGGCATTTTTGAACATAAGCTGTCAGACCAATGACAGTGCTGTTTCTGTAGCAACTATTATAGCCATTTAGGTATAAAATTACAGAAAACTCCAATGTAAAACAGTTAATCAGTGTCTCAAGCAAGATACATAAATAAGGGTGGTCCCGGGTGAAGATGTCGCCGCCTCCTCGCTTGAGAAGGCTTTTTTGCTGCCTGTGGGTGAGGTGGTCATCTGAGGCAACTGGCACAAAAAACGTCTTTCACAAAGAAATCAAAAGCTATGCATTTAGCAGAATAAAAAACATTAAACGGCTGGGTTACCTAATGAACTGTAGGAAGAAGGCTCCATTCTTCCTGGCATGCTTTGTGTAAAATTGGGACTATTATCTGAACAGCTCTGTCCTCTGTTATGTTTGGCAGCTGTCCTTGTGCACAGACAGGTGTTACAGGTCTCTCTGCTTAACAGCTGGAATCTGATTCTGTGATTTCTTCCCCTTTCTGCTCCAGACGTGGATACACGCAGCAGTTGTAGCTGGCAGCATCCTGTTGTACTTCGTCTTCGCTCTGGCTTTCGGGGCAACCTGCAAACCCCACAACCCGCCCTCCAATCCTTACTGGGTCATGGAAAAGCACATGATGGATCCGGTGTTTTACTTGGTTTGCCTCCTGACTACGTGTGTTGCTCTGCTGCCCAGGTGCGTTTCTGGTTTATAACTGCAGATTGTTCCTGTTATTCTTAACAAAATTAGTTTTCTTTGCGTCAGTGATGCTATAAATCTCTCTGGCTAGAGGTCTTCTTTCCCCTCCCACCCCCAGTGTAAAGAAGATTTCATAACTACCAGACCAAGGCATGTGAGGACAACTCTTTAGTGATGGGTTCTCCCAAGTTCAGTCAACAAAAGAAATCTTTTATGATTTTTATTATATTATTTATGTTACATTAAATATTGTCTTTGGAGGGATAAAAGAGTAATCTCTGTAACCACAGAGGTTATAATATACATACAAATCGGTTAAATTAGTGATCAAAGTTGACCGTGCACTATAGGTAGAAGTCCTGGGCTTAGTCTGTGTTTATTTGTGAAACCAATTTCTGCTTGAAATTGATGTCATGAATATCTCTGAGAATATTCAGAAGGCAGAAGGCACGTACGGGCTTCTTTGTGGAGTGGAAGGAAGCACGCTGGCTGGAGTCACAGGGGCTCCTCACTTGGACGCCTTTGTCCTGGGCCCTGGCACCCTCCTCAGAAAGCTCCACTTTTGATGTAGTTGGGCCCCCCCAGCCCTTCGCTCACGTTGGGAGTGTGCTTTGCTGCAGGAACCAGTCTGTAGGAGAACCACATCCAGGACAGAAACAGGGAAGCACCTGAGATCAGCATCTGTCTTTGAAAATGCCAGTTTTAAAAGATGTTCTGGTGCAGTTGCTGGCCTTACACGAAACGGCACCTGCAAAACCTGTTCCAGAGGCTGCTGCAGCCGCAGGGTTACCCGAATGCTGTTTGGTTCCCTTCAGTGTGGCTGGAAACAGTTTTGAGTCTCCTTCTAAGCAGCTTATTTTGAAACTGTGTTTATTTTGAAGATACTTGCTGAGAGTTCTCCAAGGAACATTGTGTCCGTCTCCGGTGTTGAGAGCCAAGCACCTTGACAGACTGACCCCCGGGGAGCAGCAGGAAGCCATTCAGAGGTGGAGAGACGACTGTGCCGCGGAGCTCCAGGCTGCTCCTGGCTCTGCCCGCTCAGCCCCGGGTGCTGTGCCAGGGGAGGAAAGCGTTGCCAGCGTTCCACCAACATCTACAACACCTCCTCAGGCCCGTTCAGGAGCTGGGTTAGCAGAGGATGCCTCCTTCTTAGCAGACACTCAGGATGAGCCTGGGGATACAAACGGCTTGAACTCCGAGACGGCCGCGTTCCTGAATCCCTCAAAGGACACTCATGTGGATGCGTCGGGCGGCGCTGCCGCGTGTGCCACCGTCCCTGCCCGCGCCTCCGGAGAGGGCAGCGGTGCCGGGGGGAACCCTGCTCTGCCCGGAGAAGATGCTTTCGTGTATTTTAGGAAGTTGGAATGCTGACTGTTTTAAACCCAAGAGTAATAACTGCTGATTTATGCGATGTGGTTTTGTTTTCTTCAGCTTTTCTTAAAAGCCTTTTTGTTTATAAAGCTTTTCTAGTAATTTATTAAGATGTTCAAGATCTAAATGGCTGGGCTGCTTTTTTTATTATATATATTTTTTTCCTACAGTAGACTTCGCACACGGCTACTTTGTTGTGTGCAATATTGTGTAATGCCCGGTGGTGTTACGGACAGACATTCCCTCACCCCGGAGCGGCAGGATCCCGCTCAGGTAAGCCAGGCTGCTCCCTTGCCCTGTATCCTAGAATCCCGGCGTTCCCTGGGATTCCCCACTTGGAGTGGGAAGGAAGCAGGAGGGCTGAGGTGTGGCATTGTCACTGGGTGGATTGGTGCAAGACTCCTCCGGTGTGTTTGGACAGTAACTGTTGTAACCATTGTGGGCCAGTTTGGTCACTGGGCTATTGGCGTGGGCTGTCTTGGTGATGGCCGAGCAGGGTTCTAACCATCAGAAGAGTGGCCCAGATGAGAGGTGTGTCACGTCTCTCCATCATCTTCCACAACAAGAGCAAATCCTGGTGCAACCTTTGGTTCTCCGTGATGGTTCATCCTCCTGCTGCATCCTTCCTTTTTGTCTCCATCCTCCTCTCCATCTCCTACTTTTTGTTTCATGGTGGTCACCACTGACTGGACTTCTTTTCCTCCTTGCCCAACTCCCATGTTGGCTGCCTGACTTCAAACTCTACCTCACGCCCACACTGCGAAGTTGTCTGCCCGTGGCCGTGGGTACCTCTGGTCTGTCCTCAGGTCTTCTCTAACAAATAGCAGCATCTGGCTGACGACGTGACTCTTCTTCCCTCTCTGGTGTTTTCACATTCCTCCAGGCTTTTATAGTAAACAGCTGAAGTATCTCTGAAGGCTGCTCCAAAGAAGGTATAGCCCATTGCACATCCCATATTTGAGCTTTCTCCTCTGTCTTGGAGATGTCCCACCTCTGCACTGAGGGGCACGTGGCTACCTCTGGATTCCAGACTCTATAAAATATTGCCTCCTTTTAACTTCCCTCCCCAAAAAGTTACATGGCCAATTTATGGAGGAACTTAGGAAATTGTTTGTATCCACTAGCACCTGTTCAAATAAACAGTTTCCTCAAACTGTAGCTGCTAATGAAATATAGGTATTGAGCCCATTTTTTGGTTCTGTTTCTTTCTAAAACTCTCTGGCTTTCAGGTTGCCAAGATCCGTGTGTTTATTTTCAGGTACCGTCTTTGGGGCACGGGCTCTGCTTTTTAACTGAACCGCGAGCTTTCTGTGTCAACGACCAATATTACATATTCCACATCTTTTTGAGATCTCTGAAGGAATTTAAACAAACGCTGTGAGGTCCGAGGCAGCTGCTGCTGCGCGGGGCAGATAGCGAGGGCGCGCCGAGTTCATTCCAGTGCAGGTCACCACATGTTACCCAGAGTTTAAAACGGTTCTGTTTTCCAAAAGGTAGAACGTAATGAGGGCTGACTCCGTCCCTCGTGTTAGTGAGGAGAAAAATATCCTTTCTTGTTTAGCCTGGAGAAGAGAAACAGGGGAAGGAGCCAGTGATGACAGCCGTTTCTGCAAATATTTTTTTTAATTTGGTTCAACATATGACAAAATATTTTGGTTAAGTTCTAACAGAAGGTTAGTGGGGACCTTTGAAGTGATGGCAGACGGTCAAATTCCAAGAGACCATGTCGAGCGTGTTGGTTTGCAGTTGGGATTTTCAGATGTTTGTCTGTAGTGTCCTTCTTGCTGCAGGGGGCACCTTGTGTTCTGGGTGAAACATCTTGGCTTTCTCTACCAGCCACGGGAACTGCGAGGTGTCCAGGAAGAAGATGCAAAAGGTCCAGCAGGGTTGGGGTGGGAGATGAGCTGGTACAAGGGCAGGATCCTACAGGAACAGACTTGCTGGGACTCGGTGAAGTCCTCTGCTCTGCCCCACAGTCCCAGGGCAGGCTGGGCTCTACCCTGACCATTCCTAGCAGATGTTCTCCTGGTGTAAAGAGCTCCAAGTCAAATATTGCTTCCATTTCTGTTGTCTCACCTGAATGTTTCTACACCTTGAAACTGGCCTCTCTTCACTTGGAGCCACAGAAGGCAGTCTTGTCGTTCTCCAGGTGTCTGACTCTACCACTGAGGTACGTTGAGCTCTCGGGGAGTGCAGTGGCCTGTTAGACCCGGGGCCAGCTGTACCACCTCTCTGGGACACCCAAATTGCTGCTGTGCGGCTGTTTACAAACCTGGTCACCCCACTACTCCCCACGTGGTGCCGTGGGGCCTTCTGGGTGGGTTCTTACATTGGAAGAACGATGATTTCATCCAGGTCTCAAAAGTGCCCGGCCCTCTGCGTTGCCTTCAAGCTTCAGGCCCTTACAAAAGATGGTGAGTACCTTTGTAGCACTTTTGAAGTGGTATAAAATAATACACACACATACTTTTTTTTTCCTTGGTGTGTTGTTTCACTGGTGGTATGTGTTGCTTAAAATAGGTTGTGTTCTTTTAGAGGAGGTTGACAAGCAGTTTAAGTGATAAAATAATCCATTGTGTAAAACCTGATCTCTTTTTTTGGTGGAAAACCATCAGTAAGGTCTAAGGGCTGCCTGCCGGGATCACCTGTTGTTATTTACTGGTGCAGAGGGGAGGGCAGGGAGGCTTTAACAAAAGCTTCAAAATGTTAATTGGCCACATCTAAAGTGGTGCCAAATGGCAGGTGGAAGAAGCGATGCCCTCTCCCTTTGCTTCTTAACAGCTGAATCTTTCCTTTATGATTTTTTTTTTAGCACTGGAGACACCAGGCTCCCCTGCTCCTGCCCTCCCGCGCGGCGGGTCCTGCCTTTTCCATTTTTGAAAAGGAGCTTTTTAGGCTCATCTCCCAGGTGCCTTCCAGATGTCACGATGGAAAGCACAGCGTGTGCACTTTTGGTTGTCAGGTAAAACCAAAACCAAAACCACCCCCTTCAACTCCCCCGGACTTTGCAGCTACACCCAGGGCAGCTTTAACTCATGTTCTGATGAGCAGTAACTGGCCACCCAGCCCTGGCTCTCTGAGGAGGCCAATGGGCAAGTTCTGAAGGTGACTGTGTTAACAACCTTCTCAGGGCTGAACTTCAGCCTGGTTTTTGTATTATTTATTCCTGTTTTCTTCTGGGCGTGTTACCCATGCCCTCATGGTCCTGGGGACCTTCCTGGTGACTGCAGTGAAAAGGCAAATTTTACCTATTTTGAGTTTCTGCAGGCTTGTTAGTTTGATTTCAGCCTGTGTACAGGCTGTTGAAAAGCTGTGTTACCGGTTAAAAGGAATTGGTTGTTTCAAACTAATTGTATTCCTGAGGAAAACCATGGAACAAAATGTGTCCAGGGAAATTTAACTGCAGCTTTAGTTTTTCACATTTTTTCAGTCTGGAGTAGCTGTTGGCAGTGGTGTTCTTGGTAGTTTCTAAAAAGTTGTACAGCAGTGGTAGCGCCAGAACCTCTGCAAGTGCTGTGGTGCTAACAGGGATGTCAGGGCTGCTTAAAAAAAAAGGTAAATAAGGCTTTTTATCTATCTTTTAAGCATATTTTTGTTGTAACTCCACACCTCCGTATCGTTGTTGAGTCTCTCCCTCTGGAAAGATTAAAACACATTTTCACCAGGAAAGTTACTTGGAAAATGATTGTAAATTTTTATTAATACAGCTAGAAAGAAACACATCTGCTTGACTGCGCGCCATCGCTTCCAGTTGGAGCTACAGCCGTGGCAGCAGTAAAACCAGCAGTTGTTACCTGACGGGGAGGCCACAGTTGTCAGAGAAACAGCGTAACTGGGGTGGGAGCCGGTCTGTCGGCACCAGGGAAGGGCTGGGTACAGCAGGAGGAGGAAGAGGAGTACCTTTCTCTATTATTTCATGTGCACACATAAAAAAAGCAGTATAAAAATACATTTATAAAATTACAAATTTCCTCTTTACATGGAATGTTGTGTCAGACACCGTTGCGGGGAAGGAAAAGACCCGACTGCTCCCTCCTAAATCCATTTGGGATGGGGCTCAGCCTGTGACTTCTGCAGCCTGATCCCAGGCAGGAGGGGGCTGGACCATGTGTTTAAGCAGGATTCTGCCTTGGTTCCTGGGAGGGACTGCTTGGAAACTGGTGGCAGGCCAAACCCAGTTAATTAAAATGTGTAATTATGTATTATCATTTGGTAGTGCTGATATCTACATGAAATTATATGTTCTCCAGGTGCTTTACAAAATTCAGAGCTGCTTCATCTGGTAGAGAGGTGTGGGGCTGGGCTGTTCATCTCATGACAGCACCTCTTTGGTTTTACCCCTGGAGAAGCCACCTCACTGAAGCCCTGTCTGTCACCAGCCCCGTGGGGGGACAGCGGGGCAGGCTGGCTCCGACAGCCCCTGGGCCACCCGCTCCAGAACAGCTCTGGGACACTAAATGGTGCTGCCCTACAGCTGCAGAGATCCTGGCCCCACAGAAAAGCTGAAGTGGGGCACTGAGAGCTCCAGCTTCATATCCTGCTTCACCTGTAACCTGCTCGCACTGGAAAACACATGGTCACAGCTGCCTTCTCTCTTACAGCTGGGGTAAGAAAAGCATTTATATGTTATAGTGAAAACAAACCCAAAAGTAGCAAAGCCTTGAAGGGTTTTCTTTCTGAGCATGAAACAGTGATACAATAGTCACTTAAATAGTTTCAGAATCCATAACATAAATATTGAATATTTCTTAGTAATGCTGCCTAGAGAGCTGTCTAGTATGTATAATGTTAAGCGTGTTAAAGGAAAAGATACGGAAAGAAGAAGTAAACCTTCACTAAAGCAATAGTCAGATCTATGTAGATTAGTTGTAACGTGATTAATAGTACCTGGCGTGTCCATTAGTTAGCTCTGTTAATGCACGGTTCCGCGTGCGGCAGCCATGGCACTGACAAGGCCCTGCCCCGTGCCAGAGGTAGCAGAGAGGGTCGCTGGATGCCTCAGGCTGGAGTCACAGGGGACCAGGCACAGGGCTGAAAACACACACACTTTAAACAAGTTGCTCCCCAGTGAACTCACCCTTTATCCTCAGGTGCCCCACGCCTCCTACTCTGGCCTCCCAAAAGCTGCGTGGGACGTCTGCTGCAGCAGTCGATGAGACCCACCTTCCCTCCAGCACCAAAAAGAGGTGCCAAGGACCATGATCATGTTTTTCAGCCAGACTCTTGGGGTGAAGGCTTAGCCTCTGGCCTGCTGCACGGAGCACGCTGCTGTCTGGCTCCCAAGCACGGCTCCTCAAGCCTTTGCTGATGAAGCTGTTCTGTTCTACTTTGTTTAACATATTTCTAAACGTTCACTTCAAAAGAAGTTAGGATCCAACTCATCTATCATTCAGATTGATTTCTTCCAATTGTTCGATCTTGCAAAGCAAAATGAAGCTTTGAATGCAAGATATTAGAAGAGACCCAGCCAAAACCACCCAGTTTCCCAGTATCTGGATGGCTCATGCTCTATCTTCTACACTTTAAATTTGCATTTTCCATATCTCAATTTTCAAAGCAGCTGACTCTACAGGGAACCATTGCAGTGGCATTGCCAATCCTGTTGTGTCTTTAGAGGACTGGAGATGTTCAATGCACGCTTTGAAAGCTGAACACACTACAGAAAAATGGGGAAAAAAGCTAGTGGGGCGTGGGTGTGAGAGCTGGCCTAATTAGTGTTAAGACACTGTCAGAAAATTAAGTGGTAGAAACTGCCCAAAGACTCTGAACAACTAAGGTTTGGCCTCGGGTGGTAGTTATGGGTCTGGTGGTCCCTCCATCGCCCCGCAGAGGTACCCAAGCTGGCTCTGGGAAGAAAAGCTGTGAGTCAGGATGGCACAGGGTTCTTCCCGGGCCAGTTGTCCACCCTGAGGGACAGAACACGTTCTGCCCTTTGGAAACCTACGTGTGTAGCTGGACTTGCCCTCTGCCACGTGGATGGACAGACTCCTCCATCTCTCCCGCACCCTCTGCCTGGTCAGTCCCGTCCGAATGCACCGAGTTCGTTCCTGATGACAAGGAGGGAGTGAAAATGCACGTGCTACTAATGGAACAGTATTAAAATAGGTTATCATCTAAAAAGGCTTTTCTAGTCTGTGCTACTGCTTAGTTTGAAGAGCTGAAAGGCAGAAAGTGGCTGATTCTTTTCTTTTTAAGCCTTTTGCTGTGTTTGGAATAGCACCACAACACAGCTAAAAGAAAAGTCAAAAGGATTATTAATTGTACCCCAAAGTATATTCACCAGCGGAGGGTTTACCCTTAACATACACTGCGTATTCCATAGCTCCACAGCAAGAATAAATAGAGCTTGAAACTCTATTTCACCGAGTTCCTGGACTGCAAAATCTTCAGCGCCGAAGTGCCGATTCCTTTTTTCTTCTCTGTCAGCACAATTCTCACCATCTGGAGTTAGTTTAGCAGGAAGGTGTGGATGTATATTTGTCTTTCGATCCACTCAATAAAATGTGACACGTTACTGTAAACTCCAGGTCCCAAAACCTTGGAAAAGCAGACGGAGCCCCAAGATGTTAAACCAAACAAAGTCCAGCGCCCCGCAGGCTGCTCGCACACCAGCGGGCCTCCGCTGTCACCCTGCAACAGGAAAGGGAAAAACAGGCCGTAGGGGCTACACGTGGCCAGCAGGACTTTGGTTAAAGCCACCTCTCGGGTCCTACAGCGAGACGTAGCTTTTACTAAGCACTGCTGCCTTTACTAAGGAACTCAGCTGCAACAACTGGCTGCTCTGCTGACTGTGTTGCAGCACACAGCGTTACCAGTATTTATTCCTTGTTCTATTTCTACAAGAAATTACCTGAAAAAGCCTCATACAAATTAAAAAAACCCCAAACAGTCTAATAGTTAACTAATAGAGATAAACCTTAGAGTCTTCAAGCAGCATTTCTAAAGTTGGTTACACCAATAATAGCAATAAATGTTGGGTTAAAAGGTGTAAACAACTGTTGTCATTCCTACAATAAATGAAGTATATGCTAAACCTAATAAACATCATAGTACTTTGATTTCTAAAAGCAAGTGTGGCTGTGAGTTCCCCCGTGGAGAGAGACCTACCATGCAAGAGTCCACGGTGCCAGACTCGTAGCCGGCGCACAGCATCCTGCTGGTGATGGTTTTCATGTCGAAGTACGACTGGCATTGCTCTAAGGAGATGATGCGAACCTCTCCTTCCTGAAGCTTGAAAGGCACTGAAAAATGGAATTAAGCGTTAAACTACAGACACACAAACACACTAATACTTAACTATGATGGTCTTTGAAATACAATAAATATTTCCGTTAGGATAGATTATGAGTATTACTTAATACAGATATATATTACATGTAAGAAGAGTTCCCCTTTCGCACAAGACTGAGGAGGGAGAGCACCTTTACCTGGGATGGGATGGGACTTTTAAGATGGGGGCAGTGTTGGCTGGGAACCAGCACTGTGAGGGAGGTGGAGAAGTTTGGCTCATTGTTGCGTGGCAGGATCTCCCTGTTTCTTGCTGTCTCTCCTGGTAAAGCTGGGTATAATCAGAGCCATTTTGAGATATTTATGGGTAAATTTGACTTAGTGTATCAGGGAATCAGAACTCAAAGGTTATAGAAATAATTTTAGTGCATTCGGGAGACAATAAAGGACTTCTTCTTAGTCTAATCAGCTCAAATTCTAAGGCAAGTTGTTGAGCCCAGGGCAGGGAGTGCTAAATGCTGTGCAGCCGTGGTGGTTTTTGATGCTTCATGACATAAAGCCTTGAAAAGCAACGACGAAACCACATCAGTGAACAAAGAACCATTTCCCACTTACTAGTAATGTAAAAGCATTCTTTGGGGTTTTTTTCCTGCCATTACATAGAAGATATTTTTAGATGGGTAGAGCTGCTGGCAAACAGCCTGTCCCTCACACATGTAATTTAATTTTTGCCACGTCTGCCCTGGCCACCAGAGGTGCCGTCCCACCTGAGGCAACGCTGAAAGGCCAGTTTCCTTCTCCAGCATACAGAGCGACGGCCTGCCCTAGTAATTACTATCATAGCAAGGGAGAAACACAATGGCTGGAGCAGTACTGGGGATGGGGCCAGGATAATTTACATAAGATGCATGCAGAATCCTTTGGTCTAAACAAAGATTTACATAACACAACTGTTCTCGTCATGGGACTCGAGGATTACAGTGGCCACAGAACAAGAAAACACACTAATGTTCTGTTCAGCGAGACCAAACCATCGCTCGTGATTATGCCTGGATGGAATAAATCGTGTCGCAAGTCCCAGGCGTGACACAGAGCGTTGATTCCAGAAAATGTTCATTCTGCCTGTGTGCCAGTGCCTTCAGTGCCTTCTGCTTTCCCTGAACTAAGAATGGGGGGTGTGTGTGTCCCTGATGATCCGCTACCTTCTCAATACAGTTCTCAATACAACCTACACCAGCAGTGATAACCAGTTGATAGCAGTTTCTAGATCCTCAACATTTTTGAAAATCACTAAATAAAGATTAAGGAGCATAAATTCAGGTGGCTGATTTGAAAAAGCAAGGCTTTAGTCACAGCCAGACCCCTTCATGGGTAGTTCCAGTTCCCTAATATTTAATAAGGTCCAGTAGCAGTATAAATGGATAAAGCTTTGTAACGGGATCACGTATTTGATTAACTCAGGAGAAGGTCAAGCTGTTTTTCCAAGAGTCCCAGAAATGCCCAACTTACTTTTGTTGCCCATGTGTCCCCAGCCTGTGATGTAGCAGTAGGTATCTGGCCGAACCAACTGGTCCTTGCTGGGCAAGCAGACGGGTCTCACGTAGCTTGTCTCGTTGATGTCCTCGTCCAGCTCCACGATGCTGATGTCGTAGTCCACCACCGCCCTGTTGTAGCGCGGGTGGAGGATAATGGTCTTCACTAGTCGGGTCTGCATGAAGCCTGATGGATGATCAAGATTGCTAATCCCAAACACTACCTTCCAAACAGCTGCATTTTCTCTCCTTTGTAAAAAAAGAAAAAAAATGGGAAATTTCAATCAAGAGCGTCCTTTTAAGCTAAAATACCCGAGAATTTTTTCTCCCTGGCTTTTTGCACATTGCACTTTGCAAAGCGTTGCACATACAAATGCTACAAGAGAAAACAAATAGTTACAAACACCTGGTTTACAGCTAAGATCTGAGCAACAAAACACAGTGCTTTCCATTTCCTGGTTGCCTGTTACTAAACGAATTAAAGCTCACACCTTCAGAAGGTATGTAACCACCTATTAGCTGCTGTATTAAATGCCAAAAGCTCTCAAAATCATCTTCATTTAGTTTTCATCAGTAGAGACGCCAGCAATGAATAATAAAGCCTAAGCTGATGCTGGTGTTATACCATTTGTTTTCCTTGTTAGTCTCTTAAAACCAGGCCCCTGTCATCTGCCATTCCGCAAAGGTCATCGCCTACCCCCACAGCGTGTTTGGTGGAGGAGGGAGGACTCGGAAATTGCTCTGTGCCAGTTGACACGACCAGTAAAACTGTCCGAGCCCTCTCACCCTTCAAAGCAGTGCGCTACTGTCAAGACCCATCTCTTGGCAATCAAGACGCAGCCGCAGATGTGTCCGCTCGGCTCGCTCTGCAGGGAGCACTGCCACGGCCACCGGCCCGGCCGGCTGGTCCTGCCCCCCAGGATCCTCTTGTTCATGCGAGCAGCTGGGCGCCGGCCGCAGTCTAGCGAGGAACAGATGCAGAAGGGAGTTAGTGGTGACCACAAAGGCGAGGGCACGCAATGCCTCCTGCGAGAACACTGGGCACGGGGTATTAATGGAGTCATGAAATGACACTGAACAATACAGCAAATGAAGTCATCAACAGCCACACAGTAATATCAAACACATTCCGCAGTTTTCCTCCTTTCTTTACATCAAAGGATTTTCCCTCCTGATACCAATTTTGACCAGCTCAGCCTGAAACACCCACCAAGCAAAGCTTGGGATCCTGACTTGCTTTCTCTGGGGAGTTACCAGGCTGCCCTAGGGAAGGCTTCCCGGGTTTATGTCCTTGTCTTTCTGTCAGGTACCCAGCCTGTTTGGGCTGCTTCGTGCTCGCCATAAGAACTGCCTCTGGAAAATCTGCTCAGCAGTAATAAGGCTTTTCTTAAGCCAGGTGTGAGGTGGATGTCACACTGTCTGTTCAGCCACACGGCACCAAGCTTGCGCCGCCTGCGGAAATTACTAAGGGAGAATATTTGAAGATTTGAAGACATTCAGTACTCTCTCCGTTCCACTTTGTAAGCCACTTCCACTAGAAATTATACCACATTCCCATCTGCCAGTCAGTTACTTTCCTGAAATAGCTAGCTCTTTACTTTTGCTTCACTTCATATTCTGGATTGGTAAAATGGCAGACTTATTATTTATCCTGTTTATACTCAGTTTGATTTAGAGAACAAAAGAACACCCCCAGTTTCTGCAATCAGCCTGCAATGGGAGGCTCCCAATGGCTGCTGCCATTCCATATATCCATGGGAATTTAGTGGCAAAGAAATAAATTGGAGCAATGGTTATTTGGAACTTGGAATTCTTACTGTGTTCACTTCAGTGGGCAAGGGGTTTTAAGTGTGCTTAAAGCAGGGTTTAAGAAGCAAACACCTTTTACGGGCTCCTGTAAGCTGCTGTTTTCCTGATAAGAGTAATAAATATTTTGATTAGTTTTCCAAATGTAGGTCATGCCTTGTGATTAATTTTCCCTGCGTCAAGCTAATTCATAATTTGAGTGTTCTTCAGCAAAGCTCTCCTTGTCTGTGGAACACGGTTTGATTGGAGATGAAAAATTTCTGCATTTTCAAACCACTTGAACTTGCACAATCTGCTGTGCCTACAGACTTGGTCTGTAGCTTTCTCCCTTGAGCTCCACAGCTAACTGGATCACAGCTTCAGCTCCCAGGCAGACAGCCTGCAGCCACGCTGCAGGTAAAGCATATTTTCAGCCTGAAGCTTTATCAAATTCATTTTTTGGAACCTGACTGCTGACAAAATCTATTTTGTGGGAGCAGGACTGGGGTACTGCAATACACAGCCTTATCATCAAAAAATAAGAAAAGCTGATGAAACTGAATAGAGTAGGGAAAAACAGTGCAAAACTGGATGTTGCAGAACTCCAGTCAAATTTCAGAATGAATCCACACTAAACATCTGCATTTGTTAAAGTGATTTAACACATCTTGGAAAACATCTTTGTTTTAGAGACACTTCTCTCTTACCTTCTTTAGTGCAAAAGAGAGCCACTTTGCTTCTGCTTCGACACATCTGTCTAAATATTGAAACAAGAAGATGGTGGAAATCTTAATTATTTGATGTAATTTTTGGTAATTTGCAAATCAGCACAGGTATTGTACTTATTGTTGTGAACTAGCTGTCAAAAATTCCCCCAAACTGTAAAAAGAAAGACAAGGAGCTTCTTATGCCAGATCATCCATGGTTTCCAGCGTCTTCCTGGAGATAATTCAAAATATTAGTTCAGCTTTACATACATTTCATGAGTGGGTGCTACATATTTTGCAGATGGCCTCGCTCTCTGGGCACCACTCCAGCGCTGAGGTCAGCTGGGATGTACAGTCTGTCAAGTCTTAATTTATGGAACCTGAAAGCACAGAGAGCGCCTTTCTCCCCTTCCTTACGGCTGAAGGATAGAATTTTTTTTCAACATGGACCTGTTGGAGCAGGTCCAGAGGAGGGCCACAAAGATGACCTGAGAGCTGGAGCACCTCTGCTGAGGACAGGCTGAGAGAGCTGGAGTTGTTCAGCCTGGAGAAGAGAAGGCTCCAGGGAGACCTTAGAGCCCCTTTCAGTACCTGAAGGGGGCTACAGGAGAGATGGGGAGGGACTCTTTATCAGGGAGTGGAGCAATAGGACAAGGGGTAACAGTTTTAAACTGAAAAAAGGGAGATTTACGTCAGATGTTAGGCAGAAATTCTTTACTGTGAGGGTGGTGAGACACTGGAACAGGTTGCCCAGAGAAGCTGTGGATGCCTCAGTGTAGTAGACACTAAAATGGCTACAGACTGCATCTTAACAACTCGTGTGAGTGGTGTGTGCTGGGATTTATACACAGATACCTTGGAAAAAAGAGCTTACGCAAGAGGGTTTGTCATCCTCCTTTGGTAAGTGACTACCCACAGCAGTGAAATAAATGTCCTTTTCCTGTTACTTACCCATTCACTAGAAGTGCATGTAAAGTGGATGCATTTTTATTCCTCCAGTCTGAGTGCAGATTCAGCCATTTTTGATGCTGCATTTCCTCGTTCTCTATTACAATTTCTGTTTTGGACGGGCCTCTGAAAAAAATGAAAGACATTCATAGACCTTCCAGTAGGTTTCTGTGTTAAAATTCTGCAGGTCAAGAGGCCCTAATGCCTCCTCTTTATTCCAGAGATGTACACCTGAATGTTATGTCAAAGCCACGTGTGGCAGAGTCATAGTTAGGAGAATAAAATCCCCCCAAAGCAGCCAGGCCAGCAAACATTACTGTCACTCGTGTTGTGTTTTGTGACAAGAACCAGAATTGGAATTGGACACAGCAAGAGCCTTCTGGTGGCAGTTACTGTAGTGCATACATTGACATGACATTTCCACAGCTTCTTGCCTCCAAAAATACAAAAACCAGATCTTCATATGTACAAGAGGTAAAAGAAAAAAAAAATATATTCTTACATTCCTATCTTTGGAAATCCATTAAAATTTAACAGTAAAGAGCAGTCTCGGTCTTGTTAATAATACTTGACAGTATCTCTGAGTCCAAGCTGTCTGCTTTGTGAAACAGAACAAATCATGGGTGACAATGTCAAACCTGTCCTTCTGCAGCTGATTAAGAGGAATATGAAAGTAAGTTAGAACAGTCCACCAGGAGATATTTTCATATATCCACTTCTTCAGCTCAGTTATTGCCTGAAAGACTCAAGCCACCTAAGAAATTGCTGTTTTAGTAAATCTCAATTGCTAAATGGAAAAAAAGAACGTATTTTTAAAATGGCTTTACAAGCCATGGAACTTTCTAGCACAGAACCATCCATGAGTAGCCATCAATCCCTGTCAATGACAGGGACTTTCAAGGACTGCTCTCCTGAAGAGGAGTCTCTCTTGCTGGGCACAAGCCAAATTGTAAATTCTAGTTCACAGATAGGAAAATGAGAAAATTTCAGAAAAAAATGTGATGTGTCCTAAAACTTGCCTCTGAATTCAATCTCTCACAGCAATACCTTTACTAATGCCAGCCAGGTCATTAGTTTAAGTCTAATTTTCAGTATTAACTACATTTCTTCTTAAATATTTATAAAAATGCAGCACTATATTTAAGTATTTACAAAAGTGCAGCATCCTTTATCTACTTGATTACATAAATTAACACAGGTCAAAGAATTCTGGTTCATGGTAAAGTTGTCAGTGCAACCATATGGAAATGTTTTCAGCAGGGCTGGCAGAATTAACCAGGCTCTGAGGTCACGGCCCTGGATCCTGCCTGTTACATGACTTATTTTTCAGAACCTTCTCTGGGCATATTAAACAAATATCACTCCATGATCTACTACTCATAATGAGCAGGCAAATATTAACAAGCATTTTTAAAGTCTGTGCTTTTTCCTCATTTAGAGAAAAGTGTTTGCTGGTAAAGGAGCTTTCTTCCTCAGTGCCCACTTAACAGCAAACACGTAAAACTCTCCTCTCTTGATTTCCCACCAAACATACACAAACTCTTTTTTCTTAAGATGGTATTCTACCTTATGATCTTCTGTGAGCAATTATGTGTACAGTGATATTTTATGTAGCTGTAAACAGTGTCTGATCTATAAAGAACTGCTAAAGGATCTGAGCTCAAACCGCTTAAACGTAACACTCAAGGAATATGGTTTAAGGTGCCTGTAGTCTCAGTCTATGGACTTCTCCAAGACCATATTTAAAGTGTCATAAGTTAAATAAATTCACAACAGACTTGCGAGGCATCTTATGAGGCCATCTGATCCATTCCCCTAATCCAAAACAAGATCAACTATATCTAAATTCTCTCTGACAGATTTTTGTCTGCCCTGTTTGTAAAAATTCCTCACGATGGAAAATCTTGAGTGTTTCTATGCAATATATTCCAGGATTTTCATTTAGGAATTTTTGTCTTATATTTTCCTAAATCTTCCTACCTGTCATTTAAGCTCATTACTTCTGTCTTATTTCTACTGTGAGAATGCTTAGATTTTAGTCAGCTTTTGTTCCTGCCATAGTTCACAAAATTTCATTCTCTCTTTTCTCTGTGAACCATTTCCACACTAGGTCTCACACTGCAGTGATCAATGATCATTCACACCTAACTCCAGCATTCCAGTTGTCCTAAGAAATTCATCAATGCTACAAACTACTGACCTTACCCTAAACCCATCTGATTGCAGGCCAGCTGGCTTAAATTTTCTTCCCACTCATCAGCACAAACATGGTTATCAGCAGCTGACCTGTGAATGGTCAGGAACATCAAGGAACTCGTGTTTTTAGACAGGGTAACTGCAAAGAAAAAGAACAAAACTTTACTATTATACCACATAGTTAGTTTTATAAATAGCATCCTGAAAACGTACAACTACATTCAAAAGAGTTTTCCAAGATGCTGGCACTTTTGCCCATTTTATATGCTCAATAGCTATGTAACTGAAAATCAAGAGAACCATGGCTGTCAGAACCTTGCTGACATTGAACGGTCTGAGGCACCAAACAACAAAGTCACCTTGAGGATTAAAATAAACCAGAATACTCCTGACTCACCAGCACAGGTTCACATGGGTTTCTGATACCTTAATCTTGTTAAATGATGTTTTACCCCACAAACAGTCCAACTGAAATCACTACAGTAATTTAACATGAGTGATACCATCATTTGACTCTCAGTAACATGCATTGTTCCTGTCATAACAATAAGTGGGTGTCATTAGAGGAAGAAAACCAGCTACTGTTTACAAGAAAGATGATGATTGTTCTCTCGTAATCCATGTATAAAAGTGTGTGAACTGCTTTTATCATACACAAAAATCTTCTCAAAATGGCCCAAAATGGAAATTTACTTTTACATTCTGCCCAAATGAATTCTCCATCTGAACATCTTCCTACTCTCCCTCCAATCCACAACACTTTCCACGTTTTACACACCATCTACACATTTTAGAAGTTCCCTGCCATGTCACTTTTCTTATATCTTTGTGCTATGACACTTCACACTGAGCCTTTCCTTTCTCTTTTGTCTTCTTTCTTGCCTGCTTTCCCAACCTCAACCCAGTCTCCCTTTGGTAATAAAAGGACCATCTCTCCACCACTGCAACTGCATTCTGAATCAAATCACCAGTGGTTACCACCGTCACCCAAACACCTCCTCCAGGCAAAGTGCAGCACGGTGGAAACCTACCACAGTCCCATTCATCGGAGCTGTCACTGCAGTCTGCTTGCCCATCGCACCACAGCTCCCGTGGCACACATTCATGGTTGACACATTCAAGTTCGCTCTCGTCACAAAATGCTGCAAGGACAAAAACATGTTTCACTCTGAGAAAGGAATCATCAATGTGAAGTTCACGCTGAGACTGAAAAACACGCCAAGGAGGTTGAAGGCAGGTACAGATCAGATTTACAGAGCAAGAAAGTGAGACAGATTTGCAACAAAAGATGGACATCACTGAGGCAGAAGGTGGTTGCTGCCCACAGTGGCAGAGGGCATCACAACCCAAAGGGGAGGAGAGGTGTCTGAAATGGCAAGATCTTTCATTACTTAGTATCACGTGTGATCCTGTCATATGAACCCTGCCTATGCCTCTCACAAGCATTAAGTGAAAATACTTTGTTTCATGCTTTTTAGGACTTCTCCAAATCTGTTTATTTCTTCACGCTCTTTGAAAAAATTTTACTCTAATGCATACGTATTTCCTTTCATCCACAGCAATTCTATATTCACTTTTGGATCCTCCTTTGCTATTTAAAATCATGGAATTATTTTTATCTCCACTTCAGAGATGGGGAACTGATGTACAGGTAGACATGCTCCAGTTCACAGTTGGTCACCAGCTGGCAGCATTCGATAGGCATTTCCTGAATCTCTCTCCAGTGCAGAAACCACAAGAGCTTCCATTTGCAAGTGACTTCTGTCTTTCCCTCACCTTTAACAAACCCCCTCCCAAAAGGTAGGTGTGTAGCATTACAGAACCCTCCTTACTAACACACTTCTCTTCCAGCTCCTATAAACCCCATCACTGGGGAATTTTGAGAGCAGGGGGAGGGTGGAGAGGGAGAGAGCGCGTGGAAGTTGTGCCTGTCTCTGGCTGTCGTGTAGCATCTATTGTGCCACACAAACCAAGCATTTATTTGCAACACCAGAGCAAAAAATGTGCTCCACTCCACGATGAAACCCACACAGATAGAGCGGGCAGTGCTGCCTACTCTGATGGGAGTAATCTTTCTGGCTGTGGAATAAAGTGTGCGAAACTAGAAAAGCCAGAAGCCCTCAGCTGGGGATACTTTGCTGCCATTTTGGAATATTCGAGCCCCAACACAAAAGCAGAGAGGAATTATAGTCTGATAATTACAGACTAGCTTAACCCAAGCCCTCGGAGGATCTTTCCTCTGTCATGATCACAATGTGCGATCATGAGCAAGTCATTTCAATACCACCTTCCTTTTTTAGGTTACAGCACACAGACTGCTTGGAAGTCAAATAGTATAATCTTCACGATAAAAAGCAGATTAAGAGATGTTCCATGAGCTGCCTCTTCCCAAAAAGAAACAAAGTTAGATCTAGTGCTATGTGCAGGCTGCCAATCATGCTGGCAAATATAGTCATATGCTCCACATAGCACATGAAATGTGCCTACCATCCTGTCCCTGCCAACAGAACTCCAGAGACTCGGGAGCCACTTTTTTTAAATTGTAAAATTATATCCTCCCCTTCTAGCAAAAATGCTGAAATATCAGGATTGCTGAGAGCTCTAAAATTTCAGCTTTCAACCAAGTTTACCAAACATCTCTTCTTTCTTGTGCAGGCTGAGTGTCACCCAATATGTCTTTTCTAGTTCCGTGTCTTGGGGACATGCCCACCCACCAGCTTTTCTCAAAAGAAGAGAATTCAAAGTACCACTACTATATTTGAGAAAGTGAAGCTAACATCTCCCAGCACCCACTCCCAGCTTCACATGCAGGGTGGGAGCTTGCAAAGCAGCTGCCGTTTGCAGGTCTTCCAGCTCTTCCCATCCCACCAGTTGGGTGCGTGGTGGAAACAGAACTCAGGGCAGCTCCTGCAGGGGACCAGGGGGCCTATTGCTGTCTGTCAGCACTTAGAGCCCACATACACTGTGTGCATGGAAAGTGCACTATACTAAGTTTTTTTCTCTCTGATACTTACCAGTTTGGATTGTAGAAGAAGCCTATGGAGCCAAGTGGGGAGGAAAAAAAAAATCTAAGAAACGTCAAACAGAAGAGACATCTACTAAAGCAGGGAGACATATGACATTTACTGAAGAACAGATCAGAAAGGAAAATCAAGTGAAAATCAAGAAGAAAGGAACAGTGAGCAGCTATACCTATATGGAATGAAGTTGAGAAAAATTGGGAAAAGGATTCAAGAAGCTACAAGGAATAAAGAAGCACGAAGACACAAGGAGGAGGCAGAGAGAGAAAAAAAGAGAGGACTGGAGTGACCAAGAAGATAGAGGAAACAGCAAGGACCCAAGGATGTGGACAACAGAGGACACAACACGAGGAAAGAGATAAATTAGTGGCATATAAGAACTGAAAAGGAAATTGAGGGAATGAGTAAGCCTTTCTGTCTGTAGAAAACCTTTCTGTTTTTATTTAATTTGCACCCCAAGATCCCAAAAATGTGGTCAGCCCCTTATGGGACACTAAAAAACTGCAGAAGCCCTTACAGCAGTTCTTTTCATCCATCATGTCAGGGCAGTCTGGGAAACCGTCACAGATCATAGTGTGTTTGATGCACAGCTTCTTCAAAGGACACTCCCAAAGACCCCTTTCTTTACAACCTGGAGGCAGAGAAGCAGAGTTTTGGAACACTTGCAGGCAATATCAAATCAACTGTTTTCTTCTTCCTCAACAATCCTGAAATACCCAAAATATTTTCACTTGCAGTATAAATTTTAAAAGGTACCAATAATAGTTAATAACAAAGAAATGGAAATAAGATTGTCACAGTGCACACTTGATAAATGGGTATAAAATATATAAGACTTCATAATACTTCAATGCTTTTTAAATAATAATCTACATTATGCTACACATATCTGTAAGTAATGGTTTAGGCATTAGCTCAATTTGCTCAAAACCCATACACCACTACTCTTGAAATACATTTACTAGTAATATATAAACTTTTCTAATCTAGAAGTCTGTAGACTTTCCTCTAAAAGCATACCACACAGGCCTTAGGTCTTTCAAAAGCAAACCCTATGACAGCATGGAATCTCCACAAAAGTGTAGAAACATGTAATTTTTTCTGGCAGTGCTGATATAGAATCTAATGCAGATCACAATGTAAGGGAGAGTGACGCTGGGACCCACAAACACTTTTCCTGGTTCCATAATCTGAGACCAAACCAGTTGGAAAAGATTAGAAAGCCCCAATGGCTGCATGAATCTTCCAGAGGGTTCATTATTAATGCATGGAACACACTCCATTATTGCCTCTTTAAAGTCCCGCTAACCAGCATCTCTGATTTCCAGAGGAATACTTATAAAACTGTGTCAAAATTTTATAAATTTTTGACCCTTATTCCTGCTAGTCAGCTCGAGGAAATTAAGAATGGCCCACGGTACATTGTAGAAAAGTGTTTTCTGTTGTTTTACCTCAGTATTTATTTCCATCAACTAATAAAGCACTTCAGTGTGATATCAGTTTAAGTACTTTGATGTACCAATGTCCTGCACATCTGACATTCTGGTTTTAGAGGAAGCCATAAAAACAATGCGTTCTCCTGACTAAAACAGATGGTTTGATCACCTCAATTGGCCTGTCCTACAGATGATAGTACTGGCTTTTCATTTTAACCCAAGCTCCAATTCAGGTGACAGCCCTGATGGCCCCACACGCAAATAGTTGAAATATAAACTCACAATCTGCGTTTCAAGCAGCCCCTCTGTTTGTCCTGGAACTGCAGCAGCGAATCAGCAGTAAATAACTAATCAGATACGCTGTTTCCAAGAAGCGTTATTTCAGGAGCGTTTCACAAACACGAACCAGAGAAACACTACTAGCTCATAGAATTACTGAAAAAATCTACCCATGTTTTAATTGTAACTGGATGTGTGGAGTGCTTGACTTTGTTCAGATTGAAAAAGCCATGTAAATAAATGTTAGAGCACAGAGAAATAAACAGCCTTGAGACTAACTCCACATGAACAAAGAACTTTCTTGGATATCACCATTTTCCATGTCTCCTTCTTGACAATCTTTGTGATAACTATTAATGAAAAATTAATTGAAACCAAACAAAACCTTTACTCTATAAAGAACAAAGAACGTCAGTCAAGATAGGAACTTGATATGAAAATAAAATAAAAAAGCTTAAAAAAATATGATTTATGAACCTTGCAATTTTTTAGCAGAGTGTTTAAAATTAATTAAATACATGTTTGCTTTTCTCCTTCATCACACATTATATTGTTACACTGTGAAGTGCACCATGACTCTCCAAAATTTATGTTTGAGTACAACATAGACAAATAGAGAGACGCTTCCCTAGGAAAATTCATTACTTATTGAATTCAGTGTTCAGTTTGTAGAAGCTATATAATATTTGGTGTGTTTCCACTTCTTCTCTAAACATTTTTGTGACATACATTTTTAATTTAATGACAATTAAATGGAAGTTAAAATGGAGGTATTTATATTACTCCCATCTCAAACATAAGTTTTGGCAAGAGATAGGGATTCAGGTATGACCTTACCTTCACTCTTCAAAAACTGAAGCAAGTTACCATTTGTTATTCACACGTATACTCCCCATGCAATTATTATAGAGCCATTAACATTAAGACCACCACGTTTCTCTCTCAACTGAAGTACTGCAGAAAATAGTGAAGGACAATAGTGGTTTTGAATGTTTTGTCCTTGATTTCTTTAGTACTCTTCTAGGACCCTCATCTGCTCTCTGCCAGGGGCATTGTTCAGCAGCCAGTAAATTAATATGATCAATTACAACCAAGCATATTTTATACCACAAACTCTCTTAACATCTATCATAATAGTAATTTTTCAGAAATTATTTTCCTCACACTTTACTGAAATGCACATTCAGACGTCTCACATTCAGAAATCTGGGTCAAATTTTCTCCCCAAATCCTAGTCTAAACGGCACTAAAGTCTTAGGATTTCACTGCAATTGCATGGGGGAGATTTCCTCTCACAAAGATCACATGAAAGCACGACAGGGATTCCTAACGGGAGGAAACAGTGGGTGCAGAGTATGGCTATGCCTTAGTACCTTTTCACTGTTCTGCCTTACATTTTTGGCCAGAGTAGCCCGAGCATCCAAAAGCTGTAGCTAGTCTTTTCCAGCCTCCTCCCTGCACTGCGAAGTTGCTCCATGCCTGTCATTTAAGGCATCTCAAAGACAATGTTTTTATTTTAAACACTGATTGTTATTTAATGTTATGAAACCAATTTCAAAGAATAAATCTAATAAAATTTACATTTACACATGGAAAGATCATCAAGTTTTGATTCTTTCCTGCACACATGGAATATGAATGAGGCAGAAGCAGTTACTTCTGGAGCTCTACAAGGACTTTCTGTTCTTCAGAAACAGTATTAGCCCTGGTCAATGTAATGTCACTCTGACAGCGGTAATTTTCTAGCAGATACAGTCTTCCATATTTATAGAAACTGATAAGAATTCTGCTGATTGCTAGTGACATTCTGTCTAGACTACAGAGACAGAGAGAGATCCACTCGAGACATGAATGTTATCTATTAGAGCATTACTTCATATGTTAATGTCTAGGAGAATAAAATTATCCTGAAAGACGCATAGCAATTAGTGTTCTAAGTAGTTAAGAACAGGCAGCAACAAAGAATATTTGGCAGAGAGGACACTTGAGACAATTGATTCAAAGGTAAAGAGATGACAAACTCCGAAAGACTCACTGTGATCATCAGCCCTGCCTTTCCTCTATAATCCAAACAAGAGAATGACCTAGTCTGAAATTCTGTTTCAGTGAGACTCTTCTTTTTGGTTTTGCTTTCTTTTAGCAGGGGGAGGGGAACGGGGCAGAAAGAGTACAGAGAATACAAGCGTGATTTCAAAACTCCCAGAGATTGAGAATACATTGTGCCTTAGTGATAAATACCCCCCTGGTTACTCCAATCATTAAAACAAGTTGCTCTTAAAAAAGAATCATTTTATAGAGCTTTCAAGTTTGAATTTTAGCCTAGCTTCAGCTTTTGGGTGTAGGATCTTATTTTATTTTTGTGCAGCTGAGTATAAAGTCTTCTGTTGCCACAGTTTTGCTGCCCACATAAACTGTGCTTCCATCTTGACCTGCTCTCTGTTAGAAAAACCCAACAGGTTGTGCACCTTAGCCCTACCGTGCTGGAATATTTTCTAATCCTCTACTCATATTCACACCTCTTCTCTAAATCCTTAGTGATTTATAATTGCTCTCTTTGCCCCTGGGAATGCCAGGCCAGCATGCAGAACTCCATAGAGACCACACATTAATCACATAAGGAAATAGTTTAAACTTCCTTCTCCAAGGTCTCCTGCCAGCACCTACAAGGATAAATAGTGACCAAGAGATTTGTTCGTTATTCTCAAGCTCAATACATCCCCTTAATTTAAAAGTCAAAAGCATCTCTACCGTGAGAAAACTCAGAAATATACCCAAGGATAAACATTGTGGTTACCGTACTTGTACCTACAGCTTGAGATTGACCACTCTGAAAAAACATGTAATTCTTGACATTTGCAGCACAGAATCCACTTCAGCAACACAGATCTTTTGTCAATACATCATAATGACAACATTACCAGCTATAAATTAAAAATTGTATTTATGACTTCAAGATTTAAACCGCCAGGAAGTCATATTTTAGCTTAGTAAAACCTCCAGCAGTATCAAAATAATTAAATCTGCAGCATTCTTTATCTTGATTACTGAAGGAATACTCAAACATCCTGGAATACTATTAGCAGAATCTAAGCGATCAAACATCATAAATTGTGTTGACATTAATCAAGAAGGGTGCTTGCTAAAGTAGTTTTACTGCCACTAGTCTTAGAAAAAAAATGTACTACCCAACATTTTTCCACAGAAAAAGAGGGGCTTATCCTCTGAACTGTCACACTATGGTTCAAATAACTGAAGGAAAAGCAAAACTCGTTTTCTAATGATTCAACTACTTATTCAAAAGTCCCAGCTCATGGAATTTATTTACCACAGCTGTCCTCATCACTATCATCCTCACAGTCAGCTTGACCGTCACATCTTCTGGATGCCAGGACACACCTCCCGGAGCGGCACTTGAAGTGACTGGGTGAGCATTCTGTCAATGACAAGGAACAGGGAGAAACAAGACCCCATAAGCTCCAAGCTTAACCATCACATGGGTACTTATTTATTTATCTATCACTGCGACTGTTTCAAAGGGTAAATGACAGGAATAGAAAGCTTGTGCAATACTGAACTGGAACTATGTAGCAGGCAAGACTCTTAACAATGGCACTCTGAATGGGATGGAGAAATATTTTCCAGAGCCCTCCCTCACGTGCTACCCCCTCTTAAATTCCAGAGCTTTGCCAAATAACTGGCATACAATATTTAGATTGTGGGTATGGATTTTCTAGCTACTTTTCTCACTGTCATGGTGTTGTGTGAAGCAGAAATAGATCATCTGATATGTTGAAATGAGTATAAGAGATCCCCAGGACAAAAAACCACATATTTTGGCAATTTTGTGGATACTTGAATTAATAAAACCACCTATAAATTTCCACGAAGTAACCCATGGATTTCTTCTGCTTCATTTTACAGAGTACTGTTTTGAGAAGGGTTTATTTAGATGATTTTGAAAAAACCCACTCATTTTTTTCACACTGTACTTGTCACTGACTTTGATGTACAACCTTCGTCATATGTTGCCTCTTTTTTTCCTTCCTGCAGAGTCTCTCAGATATTTAATACCATGCATTTCCTCGGGTAAATTTTAGCATTCAATGAACATTTGTAACAAAAATATCATCAATGAACTCAGGAGCCTTAGAAAATAACATTCTAATGACAAAAGGTATGTGAACTATAGTGCCAACATTTAATAACTCATTATGAAAATATCCAAGTGTACAATGCATACTGCCTTGGCTAGCACTATTTCTTGGGTTCAGCACTGACTGGAAGATAAGCAATTCAGCACATTGTAATAACTCTGTCAATTATAGCTTAAGTTGGAAAACTGCCTATATTTTGTAATCATAAACATTTTCAATGTTCTCAGAAGCTCAATCTCTTTTATTACATGTGTTTTTTTCAGAAATATTTATATATGATTTTAAACTTCCCGGGGAAGACTTTTTAATCAACATTGGTAATCAGAATCTGACACTGAATCGACATAAAATTGTAGCAGTAAGTGAACACCAACCACCTCTGATAAGACCTCTTTAATTAGTTACGCTGTTTCTAAAGGAATATAAAAACCCTCTCCCTCTTCACTGATTTTCCAGGAATATCTATTTCAGTGCTAAAATGACAAATAAGCAGTGAATCAATGTACCAGGCAGGCAGAGTCCCTCTAATTAAACTGAGAATTTTTTTTAAATTATGATATTTATAAGTGAACTGTATTTATCTCTAGAAATGGAAGACACTAGTCCTGTATGCAGTAGTGTATTTAAAATATAAACATTCTATGTTACATTTCACAGCCAAATGATCTAATAACACAGGAAGGAAGGTTAAAAGCATTTGATACCTGAGAAAATTAAATCACATTATTTTTCTTTAACACACCTTTTGCTAAAATCTTACTTTTCCTTTCCTACACACTGCTGTGTGGTACTGGATAATTTCCTTCCATCAGTCCACTGCCATAGAGGGAACTTACTTCCTTGCCTCTCAAGAGTCCCATGACAGAGGATTTCCTGACTATGGTATTGCACACCTTTATAAAATCCTCACAGTGATACATGGAAAGGGACTTTGCTTGAAGAAATAGTGCTAACTGCTGTATATGCTTTACTGGTTTTTCATGATTCCTTCAGTATATTCACAGCAATACATCTTCACTAAAAGAACTTTCGGCTATAACTAGCTTTCACCCACTGCCTTCTCTGAGCTAGATCAAGACTGTGGAAAGACCATCATGACCATGTAGGTGAGTAGGAGGAGAAGAGTGAGAACTGAACACGATCAGCACGTTGCAGGCACTGTAGCACACACCATCTCGCTGTTTTCTCAGCTACTTTACTGGCATTTTGGCAAGAAATAGAAAAGGCATGTCGGAATCCCCACAGATCTCGCGTCTGATGACCACTGCAGAAGGAACAGCTGTACAGCTTTTCTCTTCATACATACAAAGAATATCTAGAAGCATTTAAGGCAATTCATTCTTTTGTCCCATGTTCACACCCACAATGATTAGTATTATGGCTGAACTCAAAAACTGAAATTTGTCAGTTGCTACTGAAGCTGGCTTGGCACAACCCTCTACAAAACTTTCCCCAACAAAAACCAAGAGCAGACAATAGCTGGCAAAGACATTAACATTACAATATTTTTCTCAGAGCTGTCATGGGGCTCAGATTTTTTAGGATTGCCAAGAGTCCACTTCCTGATTAGAAAAGCACTATTATATCATCTAAATAGGTAAAAAAAGTGAAGTATAAACACAAGTAAGCAGTAGGTGTGGTGTTAGCAACAAATCTCAAACAGTGACTCTCACAGATTAAGGGCAATTCATCCTTCCTTTAAATACATTTCTTATGAGAACTTCCTCTTATCTGCTATCTGTAGGCATCCAAATTCCCTGAAACTTAGTTTGGAATAATTTCCACAGTTTAAATATTATAATTTAACGAGGAGGCATGAGGGGAAAAAAAATCAGTGACTTTGGGAACCTAATTAAATCTTTCATTTCCTCATGGGTGTATTTATAGGAGTTACCTTCTACATCGTCATCTGGTGTTAGACATGTTTGATTGTCTGCATTCTCATCTGGAAACTGAGTGCAGTCAGTATCTTCTGGCCACTGCAGACCTACAATCCCAAGCACAGACTCACAGCGCTCCTTAGACTGTACGCACAACGTCCTGAGGAGACAGAGTGGAAGTGCACAAAGCAACTGAGTGAAAGTCTTCAAAATTCTCAGGTACTGGGAGTAAGAATTGCAGCCAAAGTTAAAGACAAATATTAAGGAAAAATCAATCAATCAGATTTCTTTACATGAAAAAACTAAACCAAAACATACATTGCTTCTGTTGAGACATTATTTTAAGTTACTGTATGTGGACTATTACCTGAGTTACAACATAATAGCCACATTTAACTCCTTACAATCATCCTCTCCTCTGTAAGGGGTGGCAGAGAACCTTTTTTAAGACGCGCTAACTGCGCTTCTTTGGGAAAAAATACATTTTGTGCCAGTGAAATGCTGCCTTTTCTGATGATGCTACCTCAGAAATCACGTGGCTTCAAAGGACAAACTGTTTAAATCTGCAAACAAAAGAGCAAAGGACTCCCCAGGAAATTCAATAAAATTAAAAGTTTGGGGAAAATCAAAGCACAGATTAACCTAGTCTTGAGGGTGCTGTCAGTTAGAGCAACAGAAGCTTGTCTAACACCTGGAAAAAGGCATGAATATAGTCCTCCTGCTGCATTTCTGCATTTTTTTTTAACCATAGAAAGACAGGACTCACCACACAAAATTAGTTCAGTGCACCTACATTAATATTCTGCCTCTCAAAATACCCAATGTCAAATGCTTCAAAAGTACAAAGAGAAAATGTATAATAGAAAAATCTCCTATTATTTTAAGCATTATTTTAAACACACTGCAATGATTTTTGCCTGGAATCATAGCTGATGTGCTGTTCAATACAGTAGTCTTGTCTCGTATCCGTGGTATTTGGAATCCCTATTCATTTCAACTGCCTCTCCTTTTTTATTTTATTTTTATGGAGTATTAACTAGGCAGTATGGGATTAGGAACCTCAACATCTTTTTCATCTCTTCCTCTGAACAGAATCATGCATCATGCTTAACAGGCATTTGTCTAAGCTGTTCTTAAAAACCCTTCAGTTAGCAAGATTCCATATACTTCCTTATCACTCATTCTCACACACAGATGTCTATTATTTTCCTTGTATCTGACCTACAGCTCTCCTCAAGTCCTTTAAATTCATTGCTTCCTGGTTTGACCTCATTGAGCATAGTGAACAATTCTTCTTTTTTTTCCTCACAGAAGCTCACATTTAACTTATTTGAAGGCTTTGATACCTCCCCAAGTCTTCTCTTCTTTCTAGACTCAGCAACTCACTTAATTGTACCTTTTAGATCACATTTTCTAAACCTATAATCATTTGGACTTTCTCCTGCCATTTCAAAGAAAATTCTCCTTTGTTCTTATAGATTGAAAAATATTCAGCAGTAGGATCCCCCACATTTCTATTTTTCTTCAGTTTCCCTCATGTCACTTTTAACTTGCCTTTTACTTAATTTGACTAATTTTTCTAGATCTTTCTTCTAGGACCAGAGACTGCTTTCATGGAAGGCATTTTATTCCACTTATTTTCCTTTGACCTTTTGATCAATGGACCGTTTCTCCCCCCTCCAGTAAGCTTTAAGAAATGCAGTGACCAAACCCAAGCAAACAGACCCATTTAGGATCGATTATTTTATGCTCCTTTGAGAAAACAATACATTATTAATCTTCTCATACTTAGTTTTGGTTTGGGTGATTGCATGGAAATGTTTTTTCACACCAAACGGTTCACCACTTGCTTGAGCAGCTGGAAGGAATGGATGACTGGATTGACATCAGTTAACCATGCTGCAGTGTTTCTTTCCTTTTAGATCCTCCTCAATATCAAAAAACTTGACTTACACCATTTTATAATTTCAGCTTTCTGAATGCCAGAATTTTTATTTACCAACAGCAAAGCCCCAAAACCAACAACAATAATATGACAAACACATTTTCAAAATTTGATGTCATCAGCTAAGACATCTAAGCCATTTCTGCCCAGAACACTGTGTGCAGTGTTCCCTGCTCACTCAAAACTTTGGCCAAAGCTGAGCCTTTCCAACAGCTATTGCAAGCCATTTAGTTGTCAGTCTGTGGTGAGGAACTTCAAAGTAGCGCCCATCACAGCACATTTGGAAGACTATTACAATGCTGCTAGGAAAACTGGAAGAGCAATTGGTACTGTGATTTTTGTTTTTTAATCCTTCCCATATTCCCATACTAAGTCTCACAGTTGGGGGTATCAGAATACCTTGGTATCAGATTTCTTTACTTCTCAGTCGAATCTCATCTGCCGTCCTGTCTATGAATCAATCTACCAAGTTAACAGTTAACAAAACTAGGCATCACAAAGCACAGGAAGCTCCTCCGTCTTGGTAAGAGAAAGAAATACAAGGTAAAAAACAGATGTAGCCTAGAATTGTGTAATTTTCTGCAATGAAGTCCAATCTAGCACTTTTTTAGGAACATTAAGCATATTTAGCAGTTCACTGAACTATCTCTTTACTCTCCCAATTCAAATACAGTAATGGGATGCCTAAATTGATGCCAACACATGAGGGGCATGAGCTCTGACCAGAATTATTCTTTAATCTGTCACAGTTTTGAAACAACACCAAAGTCAGCTGAAGACTACTTAAATACACAGATGATAGTGTAATCTTCACGTCGTTATAAGCTAACATCAGTAGGAGGCATTTACTGGTCTCAAAATTAGGAACACTGATAGACTTATTGGAGTGTTGTGAGACCCAGAATCTCCAGAAGCTGCTCAGCAGCTTTCAGAATCAATTCATAGCAAAGACAGTTTGTAATTTCAAGGAAACAGGAATTTCTGAGCTTATTCCATATATTCTTCATCTATGAAATTCCATTTCTACCTTCAGCAGGAACTGAAGGTACAGTTCCCGCTGGACACACTTAGCTTCAAGGAACAGTTATAAAAGTAGAGCTTTGATTCCTAAGATTCAAAATTTTATGTTGTGTGTTCAATCTGATCTAAATGTGATATTAACCTGCTTTGAGCAGGAAGTTGGGCCACATGAATTCCAGAGGCCCCTTTCAAACTAAACAACAGTTTCAATGAGTTCCTCTTCATCTGTTTAATACCTATTCGACTGCATTGTGATACTTCCTAAAATCTGTTAGCTAGGTATGTAGTTGCTGAAGCAAAGAGCCTATAACTTTACTTTTGTCCCTCTACATTAAAATAAGCTAGCCCAATTTTTATTTATTTTTTTAAGAAAACAGTGCAAAAGACTTGATTTCCACACAAGTAAGCCTGAAACAGAGCTTGCACGCTTACTTCAGATACTAATCACACACATGTAATGAACTGCATTTAATGATCCTATAAAATATGGTTCTCTACCTTTGGTGATGAAATTCCAAAGCAAAATCTCTGGTACTTTCAATGGAACTAGAAAATTGAGAAAGACTAATATGACAGACAATGTCAGTCAAGAATTAAATGAAGTATAGTATAGTACCTGCAAGGCGGGATCCGCTGATTTGTATGGGGGTCACATTTTGGTACTAAGATTGTACAGGCAAAAAACATAAGGTACTTGTAGCAGTTGGTCTGAACCAAGGCTGGGAAAAGAGAAGACTCCCAGCTGATAGAGGCTTCCTTCTGCGTCCTGTGGCCCAGGTAGTTTGGGTAATAAGTGTAGTTGTAAGGCAAGTTCATACAGAGTTCCAGAGTAATTGGTTCGCACTGACCTTTCACAGAAAGAAAACAACAACAACAAAAAGAAACACAAATGGTGGGAGATTAAATTAAATACAGAAGGAATTATTACATAAGCATTTAACAAATTTATCAGTCAGTGGATTTCCTCTCAGGCTTGAGAAACTACAAGTTTCAGAGCTCAAGATCCCATCTGAGCCTATTCATAATAGTAAAGAATTTTTGGATTTCTTCCCAAATTGGTAGTCAGAAATATTTATTTTTCAATTTTCTACCACAACGGAAAGCCATTGGCATAATTTCACCCCAATTCAGACTGAAATTCAGCTATTTATTTAGCACTGAGACCAATGTGAAGTTATTTAACTTTATTTACTTTTCAAATATGAGAAAATTTTCCAGGAAAAGCATACTATTCAGAAGTCACTTGTTATCAAAAGACCACATTATTTGCCTATTCTGGAAGCAAACATATCTTTATAAGACTGATATTCCCCACCAGCCAGTTGCTAGGGTCAGTTGCCAACACAGCGTGACAACTGTGTGATCCTACAGCTGGATCTTTGAGATAAAGCTGAAAGAAGATCCAACAGTCAATTATTCAGTTGATCAGCAGAACTGACCAGTCCTTCTTGGACTGGCATTCCCTGTTATAACCTCTTTTTGTATTTACCTCTAATCTGGGGATCACAAAGCTCATTTTATATACAGCTTTTCCTCTCTGCTAAATCCTTGCATGCTGCCAATACTGAACCATGTCTGCTGTCTCAAACCAGTTAATCCCAGCTTTAGGGTATATAAGGTTCATGACTTCAACAATCCTCCTCACATTACTGCCATTTCCTTCTCTTCATGATGAATTCTCCCTTCTCCTGCCACACTTCAGTTTGGTTTTATCTATTGATTTTTCCCCAGTAAGCATCTTTTCTTGATATGTACAGAATATTACTTGTTCATCAGAATTTCATTATGAAACCCAAGTAAATGAGCACAAAAGTACATGTAATGCTCTAAGTGTTTGCATAACATAACATTATTCAAGACTAGAGGGTAGAGATGCACTCTTCTGTTATGCTTCATATTTATAGGGATTTAGGTGAATTCTAACCCACTGAAATGCCCCCGAAGGATAGCTCTTTACATGTTTTCAATATGATTACAATTTTCACACTGTGTTTAGAAAGTTTCTATCACATTATGTGTAAAAGTGTCATAATAGGTTTGGAAATAATAACTTTGACTCTCACACCCAATTCCTTACATTTCACAAGCAGAGTAACAAACAGAACAGACACTCCAGGGGAAATATCTGAATATAAGTAACCCAAATGTTCATCTTTCCTTCTGATGTCTGTCCTACAGTTTAAGATATCTCGCTACTGCCTTATTACTAGCCTCACCGCAGTAAAAATAGTGTTTCCTTATTTTCAGAGGGAATCTGCTGTGTTTCAGTTTGGGCCCATTGCCTCTGGTCCTGTCACTGGTCACTGAAATAGCCTGGCTCTTTCTTCTTTACATTCTCCCTTCAGAAATTTATTCTGTTATCTTAAATATGTTGTAACCGCATTATAACAACAGCCTAAACTGATCAGATGCTACTACACGTGGAGAACATCCATCATGTTGCAAAATGTGCCCTATGCTTTGGAATTTTCCAACCAAATAGTTATTTGGGCCAGAAAATACCTCTTTGTCAAAACTGAATTTTTCCACGGGAATTCTCATCTCTTACCAAAAATGGAATAACTCTGGTCAGAATACGAACAGTGAAAATAAGATTAAAAAAGACAATAGTACTTCCAGATGTTATACAAAAAAAAAAAATCTCTCCCAAATTCTCTTGCTGTTCCATTGTGTATAAACAATTAAATATTCACTGGACCAGAAAGGAAGAGAGATGATCCAGAAGTCTAATTCAGATTATGTGTTACTCCTGTTGAGAATTACTGTTGCCCATAATACGATGAGGAAACATCTTCACTAAAAACCTCTCGGGTTTCTCATGACACGGAATATGAACATCCTTTTAGAACTTAAATATCATATTAAAAGAAAAAAAATTAATTATCTTGTAACATAGTCTTAGCCACTCAAACATTTTCCAAAATTGCTGTTTATACATACAATGGGATATAGAAATCTGCATTGATAAGCAGAAGATTTTGGACCACAGGACAAACTGCTTTGGACCACAGTAAGTCTCATACTGATTTATCCACAAGGAAGATGAGTCTGAGAAAGAGACTTTCAACTCTTATTGTGAGAAAGACTGAATTGCAGTCACACTGCTTAATAGACTGTAGGTGCAGTTTACAAAAGGTAATTTGCTTAAGAGAGAGCTGCTCCCTGAGTATGTAAGAAACAGAGGCTACTGTGGGAATTTACGTATTTTCCTACTTGTTGGGTAAAGCTGCTGCTGGTGCCTCATTTGCCAGCCAAATAGAGGACCTGTCTTATGCACAACTGGTGACTACACAGCCATCAGCTGTGAAACCAATATTGATCCCTTCATAACGTATCAGATACATTCTATGTGTTCTTTATTAGTCAGCTGAAGGTATAAGCATTTAAAAATAAATAAAAATACAAGATACTGTGTTTTTCTTTGACCTGAGTAAATGTAAAGTTGCTACAGTTTTAAACATATAAAACAAGATTTAGTGTAACATCTGATAAGTTTTGGAAGTATTATGAGTAAAGAAGCTTTGAAACAGCAGATAGAAATATGGAAGCCCTCACTCTTGGGCAAGCTGCGGTTTTGTGGCAAAGATAGTAATGCTCAAATAAAAAAGCTGAATCTTGAAATGGAGAAACTGAGAAGCAACACCTGTTCTTAGGGGCACAGGCTGCTACAGCTGCTGCTTCTCCTGCAGGCAGAGAGCTCTGGGACTAAACATCCTTCACTCCCACAGGCCTTCAGCCCACGGAGAATCAGTCTTATCATACACATTTAGATTTGTGACTAGCTAGAATGGAGTTATTCGAGTCAGTAATTATATCTCAATGAATACTCATGTATTCTGAAATTAAAACATCAGGAAAATATAACCTTTAAATCTCACCAAAGACAGGAAGAGATTACTTGAAGAACTGTTTTCTTCACAGATGTCAGATACCTACAGTTCCATGGGATTTCAGCAGGAACTGCTGATGCGGTCAACAACAAAAGTAATTTGATCTGTTGTGGTATCTCAGGTTTGATTTCTCCCTTATTAGTGTATGTATCCCAAGATATATTGCTTCCTTTTTACTAGGAGAGGGACTCAAACAAGTGTGGCATAAGGCCACCTTGGCTGAACATGGATCTCCTGACCGAGCTCAAACACAAAAAAGAAATATACAGAAGAGGGGACAGAGCACTTAAGTGGAACACAGAGACGTTCCTAAAGTTTACAAGAATGGAGTTAGGAAAGACAAAGCTCAGCTAAAATTGAAACTACTGAGCAATGTAAAGGGCAATAAGGGGGGCTCTTGTAAGAACACTGGCAGCAAAAGGAAACGTAAGGAAAAATGTGCGTCTGCTGCTCACTGGGGCAGGGAAACTAGTGACCAGGGACACAGAAAAGACCAAGGTACACAATGTCTATTCTGCCTCAGTTTCCACTGAGGAATGTCATTGGAAGGCTGCTTTATATCATCTTCAGAAGGTGATAGCAATCTGGCACCCAATGACTGGAAAAAGGCAAACATCGTACCTATCTTTAGGAAGGACAAGAAGGAGGATCCAGGGGACTACAGTCCACTCAGTCTATCCTCAGTCCCCAGGAAGATTATGGACCAGTTTCTTCTGGAAGATATGTCTCCACATGAAGAAAAAAGTTGGCTGGGAACAGCCAGCATGGATTTATCATGGGAAAATCATGCCTGATGAATCTGATTGCTGTCTCTGACAAGATGACTGGCTATTTTTCCCTTTTATTCAGCACTGGTACATATCTGAAGTATTGTGTCCTGTTTTTTGGCCCCTCAATTCATGAAAGACATCAACATACTGGAACGAGGTCAGTGGAGGGTCACCAAGCAGGTTAGGGGACTGAATCACATGATCTATGGGCAAAAGTTGGGAAAAGAGAGGTATTCAGCCACCAAAAAAGGAAGGCTAAGGGGAAATCTTATTGCTGTTAACAATTAGCTAATGGGAAGGTGTAAAGCAGATGGAGCCAGACTCTTAGAAATGTGCAGAGAGGCAAAAGACATAAGTGGTAACACAGAAAATTCCAGTTATGTAGATGGAAAAAAGGTTTTTACCATGAGCGGCCTAACATTGGAACGGGTCTCCCAGAAGGACTGTGGAATCTCTATCCTTGGAAATAATCAAAACTCAGCTGCGCAAGGTAAAGAGCCACATGTCTTAATTGGCACTGCTTTGATTAAGAGTTTGGACTAATCAACCAAACATGAACTAACTTCCTTGTAATGCTAAACATGGTACTTAGGATTGTCCCTTTTCAAAAAATTAGGAGAAGCACTGGTAGAAGTACATGTAAAGCATATATGCCAAAGTATCTTTGTATTTTTACTTCAGCAGCATCTAAAGGCCCCAGCACCATATGAATGGTCTCAAAATAAACTACTTGCAGGTGACAGTCACAACTTCAGAGAGACTGTGGAGTTTTGACGAGTTGACTTTCCTATATCCATTCCAACCTAAATGGTATGACATTATTGAAACAAGCTATCTTATAGTACCAAACTATACCTCACAAAGATAACAGTTCAGCACAAAACAATTATAGGATACGTCTACACATTCATATGTAAGTAAAGGCACGCCTGCCTATGTGCTGATGTGACCTGAATTGATGTGACTGTATTAAGTTTTAATTAATTCTGAATAATTCTGAATACAGTTCTGCCCCAGTTTCAAAACCCAGCCAAATATACATCAAATATCTGTTTACAGTGCTGCACTGCACAAGTGAGAAAGAGAGCTACTGAGAAGCAAGTGTACAGTGGGTACAGGAGGCTCGCACAGAGTGGTACAGTACAGGGCATAGAAATGAAGACACATGGAGTTGAAGACCCCACTCCTCTACAATATATATTGGTCAGAAGAGTAACGAGTTTTGCCACTTTGAATATCAAAATTATTCCTTCATAAAAGGGTTAAAAGTTCTCCAGGCTACTATACACAGTACATTTTTTTATATTTTGAAAATAAACCTGTAGCTTCTGCTTTGCACTTACACAATGTTTATGCGAACACTGAATATCATTAAACCTTGAGAAAAAGTGGAAGTGTAAACACCCATTAAGAACATATCAAAAAGTCACAGAAGGGAAAATATCTGAATGTCAAGTGTTATGAGTATTTCTTAGAACATCAGTCATAGTTATGATGAAACTTTTGTGCCAACTTTACCCTTTTCAATACTCTATCATTATACGCGTGCATTAGATAGATAGTAAATTGAAGTATTACTTACTGTGTCCTACCTTGCATTCTCATTATACTCTAAAACACCCTAAAAGAGTGACCGTATGAAGCATGAGACCTACTTACTGCAGTTTGTCTGGCTGTTTCTCATCTCACAGAGAGAAGTTCCACAGGGATCAGGACAGGAAGAACATCTCTGGTCTCCCTCCTGACAGAGGGTTTGACCTGAGGAAAATAGACATTTACTATCCTAATTATTTACCAGACTTACAAAAATGACTGGAGTGTAGTAATGAAAAATACAGAGTTTACATTACAATTAAGTACTTCCTTTACATAGTTTAATAAGCATTCTACAGCATTTCAAGTGCAGTAAGGAAGATGTCACTTTTCTTTACCCCTATGTTTAATATAAGAATTTATATCCCAGTTTCTGATCTCTGAAAGCCATTTACCACAATCCTCTGACAGAGTACGAAAAGACATGTAAATCACATTTCAAAGGGAACAATAAGTCCTAGCTGAAAGAGAATACCCTCTGGGAATTATTCTTCAGTGCCATTCAGTTGTTCTGCTTCTCATTTTATGATTGTTTTGGTGGACAATAAAAACCATCCTGAAGAAAGGTCGTCAGAGCTGAAGTTTTATTGTCCTCCTTTGGATGGTTAAAAAACAAACAACAACAAGAAACCCAAAAAGGCTCTGCTCCTAAACATGGAATTTGGAATAACTAAAGGCAGCACTTCATCAAAAAGTTTCTGACCATATTACCTGGTTGGTTAGTTGCTTGACAAATCCCTGGACTTCCCTCTGTCTCGTAGTGGTGATAGCCCCTTTCCAAACCATTAAATTCTCTGATCCATATGACTTTTGCAAAATCAGTCATTTAATTTACTATTCTGTGCACAGATGTTGAACAGTTTGGATTTTATCTTCTCATCTTGTTTAAAATGGTTTATTGGAACTATTGCTTAGCATTTGTATTGGACCACTGTCCACAAACATTAATCATTCAGTCATAGCATTCTTATACTGGGGACACAGAAGATGCTTGAAGAAACACTTTGTTTCAATGACCTTGACAACAGCCTTGTCCCAAATGGCTCATATTGTAGTCATATCTATTCATAATTATGTGGATTTACTTCCCTTCATACATGTTATATATTGAAGCAATGGGTGTACTATCTTTTGCTCTAGCAATTGACTGTCTTGCTTTACAGGTGCATCTGATCACAAAATGAAAAAACTTTTGACTTCTAAAGCTATCACAAATCTTTACACTAAAATTAATTTTTAAAGTTTGCTCCATTGCCTTCTTAACTCACAGCAGAAGAGTTTCTCAACTCTTTAAAAATCCCTGTGCTTCAGTGCAGCTTCTTTTGCTCCTGTCACAGTCCATGTTGAATCTCTATAAACACACTCCACTCTGTATTTTGAAGGGCTCACAGACCAGCTGTGAGTATATCTGTATTAGATGTCTATTGTCACAAAATGAATGACAGCAGTAATGTTAATAGATGCCATACCTTAAATATCTTTAAGGTATGTAGTGTAGGAGACCATTTTTTCTTATTTGCATATAGATGAAGCAATGGTTATTTGCAGTCCCTATATGTATATACTTGTACTGCTATATAAGGTGCTTGTATCTTTAGATAGGAAAGTGGCAAAGCACAATTTTACCTCAAGTTTCTATACTGATTTCACATATTTACTGTGTTTGTAACAAAACAGGTATTCCTGTTTTGTATTCCAGATCACTTTAGCCCTAACTTCACTGCTAGGCAAATCCAAATTTTTTGATTTATACAGCAGAGTAGTCTTTGTATTAATTGTATGGCCTATTACATTTTCTGTGGTTGCAGAAATCAACAACACACATAAGAAATGCAAAAGTTCAAACAAGAATTCTTCCTGGCTTTTACACGGACTCTGCAATGAACTGAAGAGGAATAATTCAAATGCAGTCTAAATTCTGCCTACATATTCTCTGTGAAAATGCACTTCTCATCTATTTTCCCTTAGTCACACTAAATCATTAGTTTACTTATGAAAACGTCCTTTCTCTGACTCCCAAGTTCTGATGAAAAAAAGATTTTCATGAGAAAATTCCTCCTCAAATGAGACCAATTCCCATGAGAGCAGCTTCTAATTGCTGGACACAATGGGAATATGCATAAATTTATTTCAGATAACAGCTAATCATGTCAGATAACCAAACAGTATGCAAAGTATCACCTCCATTTCTTTAACTTTTTATATTTTTAAGGACTAATAAAACTCTGCTTACAACTTCCTGTGCGAAACCAGACACCAACCAGCCTTAGCAAGTGTTACTTAAAAGGCCAAGAGAGTAAATTTGTCAGACTGTTTTTGCTAAAGGCACTTCAGAATAAAAGCAGTCAATGGTAGGTTCGGTAAGAAGAGTAAAATGAGGGATATCCTTACTTTCACTGCAGTTTTCTTCATCACTTCCATCTTTACAGTCATTATCTCCATCACACTGGAATGCACTAGGAATGCACTGCCCATTTCTGCACTCCACCAGACCCTGACTATGACATGCTAGAGAAAAAAAAAACAAAAAAAAAGATTATATTCTTATCAATTTAGGTTAATCAAAGGCTTAATTATTTTTGAACATCATCTTGAAGTTATTTTAGGAGGAGCAGATAACACTGCTTAGCACTGAAGGTCACTAGATATTTTTCATTGTATGTAAGCAATGTTTTCAATAGCCTACAGCTGTGCTGATCTTTAACCACAGGGACTGAAACTATATATGTCAGGTATTAACAACAGAGATGAAAGTTCAGCTTTTCCAAGAAAAAAGCCCTATCATTTTTACTCATATAAAAATTGTCGCCTTTTCTTTGCCCATTTACTTACATTCCTTTATTCAGATTAGGCTCTTAGATTTCAGGCAAAGTTGTAGGGTAGTGGTTGCAAGGTCAAGCGCTGAACAACAGCAAGAGTCAAAGCATCATAAGTGTATGTCTTATGAGAACCTTGATCTCATTAAAACATGTGCCAGTTCTCCAAGACTTGATTTTGCAACCTCAGCAATATACTAGGGTAGTTGTTTTGCAGATATACACCGTCATCATTGGAGCAGACACAAGTCCAACTCTGACAAGGTGTGATAGGTCACATACAGACAGCAGAAAGCTGTCACAAACTTAGAACACCAACAGTTTAAGAGGTTATATAAATTCATTCATTACTCTTTAGTGGGAACATTGCAATTAACAAAAAGCTAATTCTGTAATTAACAAGAAGCTGAAACACAAAGCAATGCTGGTACTTCTCAACAGTGCCAACAAATGTTTAATTTGCTGCAGCTGTCTTCCAGAAGGGACATTTGTCAAGTGCAAACTTGGGAACCAAATAAGCGTATAGTTTTGTCTTACAGGTAATAAGTAAGTATACTACTTATCTTACATTTTCTTTTTTATTTTTAAAGAAAGAAACACAATAATTTAGAGATTAAGGGAACTTACAGCAATTGTTTTCATCTGATTTGTCTATACAGTCATGGTCACCATCACATACCCAGTCAGCTGTTATACATCTCCCATCTCCACACTGATGATGTGTCACTGGATTACAATCTAAATAAAATGCAAATTTGAGGAGAAAAAAAAGGATGGTAAATTCCATTTATATTATTGATCAATTTTTATATAGCCTGTAAGGTAATCATTCAGAGATTTTCTGTACCTGCAGATTTTTTTGCAAATGGTAGCTATATATATTCTGAATTCTATTGCCTATACAGATAGAGATGCACTCATTCCTTCTTTCAGGTGCACAGTTGTTTCTGTTTTCAAATAAACAAGTTTCTAGGATTTTTTAAGCAGATTAAAAGATCCTCTGGCTTCCCACTCTCATGCAACGATTTTCAGGTAACCAATGTTTTCATTTGCCATCAATCATTCCCTACATTTACCTTTTCACTAAGAAGTAAAAAAAAAAATAAAAAAAAAATACATATTTCTCAACTGCCGTATTTGGCACTTAATCAGAAACTGTATTTTTTTCATATGCTCAGAAGTTTCCATAAGAATGATCTACAAAGGAACTATTCCAATCTTCCTCTTACTCTTTCTACCCGAATGCTTCCACAAATAAAGAAAAGCGTTCTGTTGAGCAGGCTGACTTTACACCAAAATAAACAGGGAGCACAGACACAGTCCAGTCTGCCAAATCTGCTATGGAACCCATTTAAAGCCTGTAAAAAAACAGTTAGATCTTAAATTTTATATAGAAAAAACTGGCTCAAGATAGGAATGGCAGGAGTCAGATTAATGTTTAAAAAAGTCTTATAGCAAAGATGTTTTATGAAAAAAAAACACAAAACAACCAAAATTGACAAAAAGTAAGGAAAGATCTTAGAGTATGCCTAATTTAAGTATGTTTAATTTGCAGAAGAAATATAAAACAAATCTGAGAATAAGTTGTGCCTTGATTATTGCTTTTGAGATTCTCTGTGCTTCTCCTTAGAAAAACAAAACAAAAAAAAAGTGAGAAATAATATTTTAATGTTTAAATATTGATTTTAGAGCACTTTTTTCAGGTATAGTACCAGGAATAAAAGTTAGAAAAAAATACAGCTTTCAAAGTTTTCCAATACTTACATGTGAAGATTATTCTTTCTTAGGGAAAAATTCCTTTTTTTTTTTCTTTTGAAAGTTAAGTGTAGGTAGAAAGACAAGTATAAGGAGGCAGAACATAAAAAGCTGATTGAAAACAGAATTTGAAAGAAACAGAATTTGTTCATCAAAACATACCAGTTCACTGTGAAGCGTATGTAAAATCAGTTCAGCTACAAAACAGATGGCATCACCAGTCCGTAGCCTGTTACAGTTTGCTTTAATCTCAGTTACAATCAGCAAAGTTTGCAAGAAAGCAACCATAACATCTTGCATTAATTTAAAACAAATTTTAATCAGAATATTTCTTAAAAATACCACTACCTTCAAAATTTGGATTAACCCAGAACTCTCCTTTAAATCTTTTCAAATTGCATATAGAATTTGTGAGCTGTTTTTACTTTGCCTCAAAAGAATAATAGCAGGGTCTATTACTGTTTTAGTATTTTAAGGGAAAAGATCGCCGTCTTAAGCAATACTGCTATCTTAAAGACTTCAGAAAAGCATAAAACTTTTATTTACCGCAGTTTTGTTCATCACTAAGGTCTCCACAGTCATCATAGCCATCACAAACAAAGGTATAATTTAGGCATTTTCCCGTGTTGCAACGAAATACATCATCACTGCAATCTACAAAACAGATTTTTGTAAAATGTTAAGATGGAACATTCCTATCAACTATGAACACTGGAATGTAGTGACTAAAAGAAGATTAATTAAAGATACTGCACAATTTACAGGTCTGCTATAATCCTCAATGTGTACCAGTTTATTAGAATCTTATATGGAAGAACAAGAAAAATTAAAAGCAATTTTTAGACATTTTTACTCTGTTCTTAGCAATTGCTTTTTTGATCAATACTAGGATAAAGCGCTCTGGTTACATATATGGACCAAAATGTTTAATTAAGTTATACGCATGAAGTTCTCAAGAAGGGTTGTGGGTTCCATTGGATAGATTAGTAGGACAATCTTGAGCAGCTGCTGTGGATATTAGGTACAGCTGAAGCTTCTAACAGCAAAATCACAATCCCCAGACCCCCCTTTTGAGGCAGCCTTTGATATTACAGTGGTTTCAAATGAACTTTATCTTTTACAAAGTTTTGAGCTCAGAATCTGGCCTCATGCCATCTCATCAAGGAATTTTTAGCCCTGTCAGCCCTAAGTGGGTTTAACTTTTCAGGCCTTCAGTGACGTCCTGATAAATATTCCTTGGGTATATCCAAAATGGTTGAACAATATCAGGTTTACTAAAAACCTGGAATCTACAGTGTAGTTAGGAAAAGGAGAAGAAGAGTAATTAGGGTTAGTGGTATTTGGTCCCATTAGTAATAACTTTTGATTAAAAAACACACAATTGGGTAGTGGTTGACCAACTTTCACTGCCTTCCTCTAGGCTTTTCCTCCACATCTGGCTTTTCCAGGGAGAATGTCGGGACATATAAAACAGCTGGGTAAATAATGTCTCCTTCCTGTTGAAGCTATGCCACTGGAACCAAGGAAGATCTTTGTGCCCTTTACTGGGATATGTGGGCATTTTAAATGAGCTCTTTCTTGGACAACATACAGAAAGGCTCCAAGACCAGGGACTTCAGCACAAATCTCTCCCCTTAGCTGAGATGTTCAACCACTAACAACAGAATCATGCCATCGCTTGCTTCTCTTGTCTTGGCATGTGTCTCCTGTGTTCATGATTGCACAGTGGTCCCACGTTGGAAGAAGGGTGTCCTTCTAAGTATATTGCACACTGAAAGGCACAGCACTCTCCCAGAAGGTGCAGTGGAGTTTCTATCCCTCCAGCTCAATGTCAGCCAAGTGTTCCACCTCCTAGGTGAGTGCTCTAGCTTTCAGTTTCTCAAGGCGTTACCAACCTCAACTCTAGAACTTGAACATGAATCACTTCTTCCCCTTCCCACACCAAAGTATTCGTGCTCTCTGTGAGTTTTACATCATCTTAGAAAGTCCAAACATAATTTATAGCACAATGTGAAGGACAATGCTTCAGGACATAAAGTAAAATAATATGGCTGTGCCATGAGCTTTGTAGTCAATAATTAATTTAGCTTTAAAAGAACAAAAGGCATGAAACAGTAAATACCAAAAACCCCAAACTAAATGAAAATATTTAAGTTCTAGTTTCATGCAAGCAGAACAATAGCCAGCTGAGAGTAAAACTCTAAACGTTACTTGTTTTGAGTATGCAACAGTGTGCAGTACTCTGGCAACCTTTATCCTTATTGTTCAGCTTGTAACTCCGACAGTTTCTATGCTTCCACTGCTCCTCACGCAAATGAAACAAAGCTGTCTTTTTCTATGTCGTTTCCTCTGGATAAGTTCCTCTGGTTTAATTTCCATCCATACCCCCTTTCCTGTTTATATTCATACCTCAGTAGCTGCAGCAGTGTTCTTTAGGGTATGGCAGCTCTCAGGCCCACACAGACAGGGCAAACAAAAAGAATACAAACTGCCTTAGAAGGAAATAAGATTCACTTACGAAAATCTAACAGGCTTAACACACATTTTCTTCAAGATATTGGCAATAATCTATAGTACAGGGTAGCTAGTTATTTCCATCAGAATAAGATGAACACTTTGCAGCTGCCATTTGTAAAAGGCTTAACAAATTTTGCTAATGATGAGACAAGCACAGTTTTCATAAAATTAAATACAAACTCCTATTCTGTACTCCACTAAACATGAATAAAGCCTGGTCAGTCTTTTGCATTCAGCAACCCTTTGATCTCTGCTCATGCATACCCTGTTTTCACCACTTCACTACTGCACTGTGTGTCCTTCTGACTGTGTATCACCTCAGCCCAACACTCTAGGTCATTTTAGGAGTGCTACATTTTATAAAGATACACCTGCAGACTCAATGTACAAATTCGGTGACTTCTTAGGAGTAAATAAGACCCTAATTCAACAAGATGGTCTATTCTGGAGTGTGGCATGCAGCGGTGCATGTGTGTAAACGTTTTCTTTTTATTTTATTACTAAAGAGGTAATTATTAGGATCTTGTTCGCCCACTGTGAAAGAGAAGTATGACTGAGAAAGTCACATGAGGAGAAAGAGGAGGCAAATGTACGTATTGGGGAGGTATAAGCACAGCCAGAGAGCCTGTTGCATTTGGTACGTTGCATGTAAAACTTGGTCACCAGGATACTTCAACACTTCCAAGTTTTGGCACTGGGAACTCATACATTCGTAGAGCAGCATTACAGGTTCTTTCCTGTTCATATTCCTCTGGGATAGCTGGCTGAGCTGAAATTCTGATTCCTCAGCTGGTACCTTCCATTGCACAAAGTCACAGAGCAAATGGTATAAGCAATATGGTGAAATCCTAAATATCGATTTTCAGCTGTAGCTGTGTAAAAAGCCACACTGCTAAGTAAATTAAACTATACTTTCAAAAAGAGGGCCTAACTATTGTCTGCATACTTATTATGGACCCTCAAAGAGAAGAAGAGAAAAACACATGTCAACAGCCAGGAGTAGAAAAGTGATTGCACCATGAGATCAATTTCTTGATGCAGAATCCTGAATGTAGATTCTAGAAAGAACTACTTATATGGAAAAGATTAAATCCAGATAAGTCTACATTTCATAATGTATATAATAATCAACATTAAAACTAAGGAGGCACAGCTGTAAGATTCACTCATGTAACATTTACATCATTTAGTTTCAAAAGCACGTAGCCCATTTAAAATATCTGCTTAAAATCAGACAAATCATGCATCAGAAGTTTCTGTTTCTCTCAGTTGATTCTCCATACTGCCAGTTTAGACATTTAGCTCAGATAAAGTCACCTGCACAGGAACAGACAACTCCCTCCTTCATAACTAAAAAACAGAGACATCTCTCCAGGCTGGTAGCATCTAAAACAAATATAAGAATTCGTGTATTTTGGGACTGCAGATGGGGGAAGTTTTGACAGGAATCTGGACATCCCAGGAAAATGCCTCTGGGTACAATTACATTTTTAAATCTGGAATCATGAACCAAACCATAAGCAATGGTATAAGCTTATCTCATCACCTCATCTTGCCATAGAAAGAGTTGATCACAGCATTACAAAGCACAAATCAATGCACCCAACAGGTTACTGAAATTGGCACTGAAGCAAAAAAATAAAGATGGGGAAGAAAATATAGAGATGGATAAAAGAAATATCAAGATTAGCATGAATTAAATATGAAAGGAAATATGTGTGTGCATGAAGGCATCAGAAGCAAGAGTAGAACAAGACTTAAAGGAATGTTATATGTTAATTGCTACAAAGCACTGTAAGTGTGACTTCATTTAAATGATTAAGCAGCTAGAAGATGAATAAGAACCTGACCTAAAGATAAGTTCCAGTGCTTGATAACCCTTTTGGTGCAGAAATTGTTCCTAATATCCAATTCTAAACCTCTTAAATCACTAATAAGAACAAATCTTTTGAGATGAGTCTAAACTGTGCAGTCTGGAACTCAACCCCAGGTCTGACATTTTCCAAAGTCAAAATGCACAGGATTGGTTTGTGATATTGTGTCCTACTATAGTCCCTACAGTCATTGTTCCATATTTCAATAATACATTTAATGGTAACTGAGAGAGTCCAAACATAAATACGTGCAAATACTATGCAAAGCTCCTATTCTGTACCAATAGTTGTCTTTAGTTTTTAGATTTCCTTGGATGGATTCACTGCTTCAATGGAACACTGCAAGGTTTAAGAAACTTACTGCAATGGACCTCATCACTCCAATCATCACAGTCATTGTAGCCATTACACTGGAGTTTTCCTGGGATACAGATCCCACTGGCACACAAGAAACTCTCCTCTCCTCCACACAGTGCTGGAAAAGAAAATAAATAATGCGTGTTAAAGTTTTCGGGGTAAGAAGAAATAAACAGAAATGAAAGACAGTCAGAACAATGGGTCTTAATTGAAGCAACAAACCCCAAATTAATCAAATTCAAGCACATCCAAACTGACATTTTCATCTAATTTTTTTATTTCGAAAAGAGATATCTAAGCTGAGTTAATCAGGAAGGTTCAATCTATCTGCCATGGTTTAGGTTGGACTGGCCACTGACACAAACAACAGATGCTCTCCCCCACCTCTCATTACTTCTAAAAAGCAGCTACACAAAGTAACTGTTAAAAACTGACCTTAGGATGCGATTAAACAAGTTCTTTTTTTCAATTAAATAGACGAGTTGGATTAAATATACAACTAAAGTTACTATAGATGGATCTTCCCAGCCTGGGTGTTCAGGCAAAAGATTACCAGACTTATCAGTGTCATACTACAGACGTCTTTCTAGAAGATAAGGGCTTCTCAGACATTCTTGTAACTCCCTGAACACTGGAAGACAGTCATCGTTGCTATTGGTATATGTGGGGAATTGATACACCTAAAGAGTCAAAAAAACTCTAGAACTTTAGGCATCCCACTGGAGATACCTTGCAGGGCCACTATATTCAGAAGGAGGGAACTCATAACACCTTCCCATTCAAGTCCTTCAAGGCACTTAAATTATAAACATACAGATCACCATTAATTTGTTTACATCTTAGTCCACCCAACAGAAACCCAACTTCCAAATCTTTGCTTTAAGAAACATTAGCTGAGAGAAATCCCTGTAAAACATACAGATGGGAAAAGATATAAAATTAAAATTACATGGGGATGCAAAGTAAAGGTGTCGAGAAGAAAAGCAAATATTCAGCACAGAACCTAGTTGACGGATTTTGTGGCTGTGATTTTTCAAAAGCCACAGTTAACCGTCAGGCTACTCAACAAAGCTAAACAAAACAGAAAGTTTCACCTCCGGTAAAAAATCAACAAAATACCCCCTATAACTTTACTTCAAGGATACATATCTGAAATGAGAAATAACTTTCAGAGATGGAGAAAAAAAATCCTGATACTTTGCCAGTGTAAAGTTATTAAATGTATCCATGTGTGAGAACAGCAAGTTCAAACAATGAAATCTCATGAAAGTTCAAAATTCTACTCATAGAAATTCCATTCTAATTCAAACTTTGCATCCAAGTTTGCCACAAATAAATATCTCTAACAGTAGCTTTCAAATTTTACCAGGTATGAAAAAACAGAATCTCTTCCTCCATTAAAGCCATTTTGCACCTGATCACAACATAGCTCCATATTTCACATTTTAAAATGCCTAAATATGCACTTTTCCTATTCTTACAGGAAATTCAGTTCATATTTCTTCTCCCTTTATTCTCTGAACCTGATGCTTAATGAAGTCTGGAAAGTATATATCTATAATCTGTATCTCAAAAGAAAAAAAATGCATATCGAGTATTCTCACCATAATTTTGTATTCCTCATAACATGTCTAACCAAAAAGCATATTCATGCAGAATACAGTTAAAAATTAAACTAAGGAATTTAGGAATTAAATTGAGGAAAAACAACCAAATATCTAGTGATATAATTTTTTAGGAGCATGAGATTTTATGGCCTCAGTGTTGCACTGCAGTAAATGATAGCACAAAAGTAATACACTAGATTTCAGATGAAGCCATTCACAAATCAATGACTACGATGATGTTTATGTCAACATCCTACTTGGTGCTTCACTTAGCAGAATTCCTAGTATAAGGAATTATCCTTAACAGTGAAGACTTAACCACAATATTGTGTTGATTAAGCACATTCTTAAGCAAATGAAAATTGAGCTTAAGTGAAAAAAGATCAAGCCTAAGCTCACACACTGCTAACGTCCCATTTAAACTCCTCTTTCTGGAGCCAAGACTTCACTTACAAAAGGAGGGAAAGTTCTTTTTAATTTCTTCCAACTAAACAGTCTGTCATGAAGTAACTCAGAGCATACAAGTAATCTCATTTTATATGTCTTCAGAAGAATAGAAATATAAAAATGAAACAAAATGGAAAGCAAAGTGGTGCTGATGAAATCTGGCAGTTTCACAAAGCATGCAGATACAATTTAAGGATATAAAAGATGAAAGGTAGAAAGAGATGAGGAACATGAACCGATAAATGTTGACTCTCCATGCTGCTACATTGATTTTTATCTGCTTTATTTGTTCGTTAAGCGATACTGTTTCATAGAATTTCAGGAATTCATTATTTAGTGATGTATCTTTTGAATTTAATAAGTGTATCATGAAAGAAAACTTGATGGAAACTTCTTTTCTTCATATCTCAAGCACATGACTTTTACCTGACAGTGCTTTTGCCTGCAGGGTAGCAAGTGTAATGCCTCTGTTTTCTCCACATGTGAAAAGCTGAAGGAGGCCCAAGTGATTTGTCCAATGACAAACAAGGAATCAGGTGAATAATTCAAAGTGGTTTATAGAAGTGTATCCCTAAAAATCTAAACCTAAACCAGAAAAATAAAATAGGTTATCTCCCTATTCTGACAAAGTAAGCCTCTTACTTCTTGAAGCATGCTGGTCTTCGCAACAGTCTCTCATCAGGAATTCTGGCTGTTGGTGGGAGACCAGTATCCTTCAGCCCTGCTATTGCCTTCTCTTTGGCAAGGGACACTTTGTCAGTCTCTGTGTTACTCCAATACCTTTCTCTCTTCTCACTCTCTCAAAGCACTTCCAATGATGACTTCTAGACCTAGACTTGAGATCTCCATGGTTTTGTACTATTCTTCAGTTGTGTTGGGTTTATTTTTATTGCTGTCCTTAATCCACCACTACCAGGTACAAGCTTCATCCTAGAATACAGCTTTTTGCCATTCTTGAATCCACCAGGGTAACCTACCCATAGTGACTGTCAGAATCATGAGTGGACAAATGGGCCTTGCCTTGAATGGCCTTGCATGACCCCGACCAACCTCAGCTGGGGCCTCCAACCCACACCCTGCCCATGGGCTCAAGCCCTGCCTGAGCACTGCTGTAGGTACAGCTCCACCTCCTAGATGGATCCCTCATATATACACCACAGCTGGTCTGCAGCCATAACTTTGGCCCTGGTTCCTAGATCGCTTGGAGCCACATCAGAGGCTTGTCACCAGTCCTGCTGCTGGTCGCACAACCTGACTGGTCTCTCTACTTGGACTCTGGACCTGGTTCACCACTTTGCCATATCTGGGGCCAGCTCTGCCTGCTGCATGGAGGCTCTGCATCCCAGCCCAGCCTGACCTCAGCTCCCAGCTTGCCTGCCTGGAGGGAGCAGGCCCACTCCCTCATCTGCTGGTGACACCTCAGGTCCTTGGTCAGGTTCCAGCAGGCTGATTGCTCAGCCTGGCTCCTCATGGTGCCTTATTTCTGTTAGTCTGATGCTACCTGGCAGTCAAAGACGTATCTCAAGTTCCAACAGCATTTTGATGCCTCTGGCCAGCTATATTAGAAAAATAATGTGATATCGACAGGCATCCTTTGTTCTCCATTATTCTTTCAGTTATCCCAAATGCCACCTCTGCCTTTCCACGACTTCACAGTATACGTGGAAAGACATCTTTCACTGCAAAACCAGTGCGGCCACTGTCCCTGCGCAGTGTGTTAGGTGTGCCACCATTCGCAAAGAAAGCATTCATTTCCTTCAAAACTAGGCTTTCCTGAGCACCCTACAAATAACCCAACTCCTAGATGATAGAATATTAGTAACTGGTTTGTTCCCTTCATTAAAAGTGAACATTCATGTTGTCACATCTAGAAGGGCTGATTTAGGTTTTCAGTAGGGTGCAAATCACCTTCTGTTATTGGTATATTATCATTTTCACAGTTGCAAAGTATTATCTATCACTCATGGTAACTGCTCTTAAACCTGAGGGAAATCCAAATCCCTCATTTTAAGGAAAATCCCACTTACAAATACAGCTAATATTCTGTTACACAGTAGAAGTCTCCATCATCATTTTCCCTTAAATTCTTTCGTTTCTGTTTTCTGATTTATAAAAAAATCCCCCATTATTTTGTGGTTGAGGAGCAGACAGAAAATTTCTTCAAAAAACTCATTACTTTCTCTAGTAAAATTGAATTTCACGCCTTGTCATATTAAATATCATAAACTTGACTTGATTTTTAATAGTGAGAAAAATCAGCCGCTTTCAAATACATATGTAATCTTATTTGTTAAAAATCAGCTCATTTATAAAAGCACTGTGAAGAAACACCAGAAAAAAAAAAAAAGCTGAGGCAAGGCAAGATGTTCATATAAGGAATAAGGAATCTTTTATGTGTTCCAGAGATAAAGGCTCTCTTCCCAGCTGTGCTGCAAACTTTTTGCATCACCTTGGACAATTCAGGCAATCTGTGCCTTAGCTCTCTACCTATAAAAAGATGAAAAAACTTCTCTGTTTTCTGGGGCTCTTTGAGGAGAAAAATTACTAGCCACAGTACTACAAAGTTAATGCTGCAGGAGTCTTATGAACTTATTTTCACACTGACAAATTGATATTCAGGTTTTCCCACAGGGATCAAAATATATTTCTGGGAAACATCAGGATAGCACTCAGAAGAACATCACCGAATGCAAGAAGGTCAAGAGGAAAACCAGAAAGATAAATCTCACTGGAAACAATACCATTTTTGAGACAGAGCAAAGCCACTTAAAACTGCCATCAGTGAATGACCCATTTTTAAAGAACTCAGCAGGCAGTCATGAAAAGACTATTACACCTGTCAAATCTGCCCTTGGGACTAAAGAGGAAGACTTTAATGTGCCTACAAAAACCATAATAATTTCTGCTCAGGATCAGCCTTTCTGTATAGTAACGTGATATTCTTCACAATTTGCCGAGCCAGGAGGTGCCCAGTGGATGCTGCGATGGACCACTGAGCACTGGACACGCCTAAACATGCAGAGTGTGATTTCCAAATATGACAAATAGCTCCAGCTTGTGCTGA